ATTCACAGCGTACCTCCTTACCTCTCATCAATTCCAATAAAGGTTCCAGTGGGGACCTTTCTCCCTTTCCTCTTTCCTCTAAATGTAATTATCTATCCTACTCATCAATAGGTCTAATACCTAACCTTAATCTGACCACTAAAACCTAACCACTCGAGCTCTTCTGCCTAATCCTAAATGTAATATCCATCAATAAGCCTACTATCTTACCTTTAGTTTAACCACTAACCCTAACCACTCTGGCTCTTTATCTATTCCTGAAATACATCTCCACAAATAGCTTTACTATCTAACCTTCAATTCAAACCACTAAAATTAACTATTGTTGCGCTTTTACCTAAATCTCAAAACTGGAAATTAATTTATAAAACCACATTCTCGCTACTCACTATTTAATTATGTTCTTTCTTCCTAACCCCTTGCCCTCTCAAGCCCCTTGGGGTCTTTCAAGAGGATAACGGGTTAACAGAGAGACAGCCATTTGGCAGGGGAGTTTTCGCCGTGACCACAGTTTATATCCTCGTCTCTGTTCTTCAAGCTTAATTTACCTTGTCCACTTTATACCTTTCATATTTATGACTCAGTCAAAGTGCAAAGCTAGGGTTAGACCCCAAACGCTATGCGCCGGCCCGTGCCTTTCCTTGGATCTCTGTATAACCATGAAGTCGTCGGGCGACATGGGGAGATCTGGTGGCCTTTCCCTAACCTAACCCTAACCAAACTGCAGGCAGTTTGCTTTTCAGCCCAACTGTATACAGTTTTTCTCAGACGCGGAGGGATACTGACTTGTTGTGAAAAGTAACTACAATTCTACCCGTGGTATACGCTCAGTATATCACGGCTAAGAACCAATCAGATTGCTTGATTTGACTTGTCCATTTTATAAATATATATATATACCAGCAAAAATAAAATGGTGTCACGCATTGCACAGCATGTGCAGCATCCACAGTTTTTCTCTGAGCTGCCCTTTTTAACATGTGCCTTTTGGATGGCGATCTGCAGGTGGGGCGTCTACATGACACGCTGGAGCGCGGCCAAACACTGACACTCCGCTGGAATTTAAGAGCTATACACTTATCATAGTTGTCTGCACCCAGATTTTAAAGAGCACGGGGGAGATTACAAACTTAGCTTAGACAAGTTGAACACGAACAACGATAGCAGGGGTTCTGGCGAGTAACCTAATTCAAACATCAAAACATTTAGGAAAATTCACATTAAAGCAAACGTGGCTTAATCATTAGATGGTGGAAGAAATGTCCATAAGTAATAGAAGCAATACTAAATAGTACAAATAATAAAGGTCCTGCACTCAAAATTGTGCTTAACTAGAAGTAAAAAAGTATTGGTATCAAAATAAACTTAAAGGGTAGGTAAGTTTGAGAAACCGGCTCGAGATACACTTTTTGTTATATTCCATGGAATGCTCTTAACATCCCGATAGCAATGAATATCTTAAGTGCTTTGACAAAAAATCCATAAAAAAATGTCATCGACCAATCATTTTAGCCGGCCCGGCTAAAATAACTGGATGGCCTACCTGCCTGTCAGCCTTCCATCTGTGCACAAACTTATCTCGTGCCCTCATTGGTCATGTGCGCGTTCGTGTGTGTTGGAGGAGGGGCTCTGTAAGGAAGTGGGAGATTTTCTCCGGTTGTGTATTTTCAAATTCTAGCGATCTCGAGCCGGTTTCTCAAACTTACCTACCCCACCTTTAACAAACAAAAGTAAAAGAAATCCATACGACAATTTTTTAATCATATGATTATGAACTTGAAATTGGAAAGAATAATTAGTTCAGATTATCTTGACTGATGACTCATGATATTATAGAGAACAACCATTTTTGAAACATTAATCAACAATATCATTGAATAATATGTTTGAAATGATCATGGTTTGATGTTCTGTACCACGCAAGGATGTGTTTTTAGTCAGTAGAATAAGGGGACTCTTCGGCAGTATCACAATACTTCATTCAGAATTCAACTTACTCATATTGTGCCAAATGTGATTTGGATATCACACTAGTCCATATTGCAATGACGACAACACTTAAATTATTTGTGCATCCTTTATTAATCATAAAGCTACATTGGAAATCTAACATTAGTAAAGGTGCAGACATATAATCATCAAAATATACTTTAAATACCAAAAGTAAATTAGCAAGCAAACAAATGGCCCCCATATGTGATCATTTGTTGTATATTTGACAATATTATATTGTAAATAAAGTAGCATTTCACTGTTGTAGACAAATACACAAACTTTTTATTTGTATGACTTTTTTTCCTTATGTTGTACCGTATATATTCCAATATATGAATGGTAGCTCAAACATGTATTCCACTTCATCTTTAGAGATGCATCATATTACAAGTTCATCACGTATATTAATGCAAAAATGTTGTTAAAGTTACTCTGAAAAGTAACTAAAGCTGTAAAACAATTAGTTTATAGGTCAAACAAACTGGAAATGCCAAAATACTTCGGAAAAATGAGGGCAATATAAAACACAAATGTGCCAAAACACATGCAAATGAAAAACATGTGTTCACTAAAAGCGCTGCAAAAAGAAATAACGCTGAAAGAAGCTATTGGCTTATTTCAACAATGTGAATGCATGAGTCCTTCCAATATTAGTAGCTTAGCTAGATTAGAAGGACACTGTTGTGCATGTGTTGTCAAGTTGGCTAAGAGGAAGACATGGGTTGCATGTGTTTTCGCACATTTGTATTTTGATATTTGCATCGTTTCTGAAGCTGCATCGCGTTCCTCCAAATGGAAATGTTGTGGGCCATTAAAGCCAGTTTCACTTCTCAGCCAGTGTAGTAGTTGACTAAGAAGTCAAATGTTGGTTTCTAAAAATGTAGTGGAATGAAGGTATAAAGAAGCATAAAATAAAAATACTCAAGTACAAGTACTTTAAAGTGGTACTTAAGTACAGTACTTGAGTTATGAACATGCCACCATCGATTTGACACCAATTACTTGCCCCTCAGCTCTTCATTTAATCGGGCCCACATGTATAATTAGGCAGCAGAAATGGTAAAGAAGGAAAGTATACGGCCACATTCCTCACACCTCTCCCCCCCGAGGCTCAGACACTGATAATGAGGTTACAGCATATCCGAAGGGGCAGCAACGACCTCGCGCCACATCAGCAAATTTCAGCCTACTTAGCTGAAAGCAGGCTGATCTGGGACCCTTTCAGCCTGGGCACAGCCATGCCTCTGTAGTTGGCTGCTTCTATTCCTATCCAGACACAGAAAGAATGAGGCCTCCCACGACCGACTTTCCACCGCTGCGACACCCGACACTCCGCTACAATCTGACAGCTCGCTTCACACCCGGCCACGGCAAATGGTATACCAGGTTCATGGTAGACGAGCTAGTCAGGTCACATCAAGATTTATACATTTCTGCATCTAAAAATATTCCCCTTACAGACTGTCTCATGACAGAAAAAACGACTTCAGTAGACAGGAAATGTGTATTTTGCAGAGAATTATCACATTAAATAAATATACATGATTAATAGCTAAATAAACTGCATATTAGTTTTGCTCAGGTGACTTGGGATACATTTGATATCAATGATAAAATAAAATAAAGTTAGAACTTTGTAGAGGTTTCCTGAAATGAAGCCTATTCGGCTGCAGCAACTTGATCTACAGGCTGACCACAGCCCCCACTTTCCCATGGAACTGGCCCCTCACTTCTGGGTAGCAGCCATGTTTTGGACTCATGACCTCTTGGCCAGGAAGAACAAAAATCAGAAAGCAGGCTGGAGCTAGCTTGTACCAGTAAACTCGACAGGACTGCCACCTTCTGGATACTAACGGTCACAGCAGAATCTGTTCCTAAGCGATATTGATTTCTAGGACATCATTGACCCTGTTTATGTACTGTGACTTTACTCTAGTGTATGAATGTATATTGTTATCTTTTTGATTAGCAAGATCTAATCTAAATAATGGAAGAGAGCTAACATCCTGCAGCTGTATTGTTTTTAAATTGTTGTTATTGATATATAATCCCCTCCCAGTTGAGGGATTCAACCTCATTCAGCAGACTGAAAACAGAACAATAGTATATTGGCATTTGCTCAGTCGGTAGGAGATTGGCTTGAACATTAAAAAAGACATTGTGTGGAGTGTTAGCCATCACCTCCTGGGCACTGCCAAGGGGTCCTTTAACAAGGCACTTAACCCCCAACTGCTCCTGGGCACCTAGCATCACTTTCGCTCTAACACTGCTCCATACAAATGCGTAAAGTGTTCATAAACAACACAGTATGCCTTCTATTTCTAAAGATAACAAGAGGATTAGAAGGTTTCCTGATGCTTAATACAGCTATACTTACACTTCAAATGTCCTATTAATCCAAATGGCATAAAGAGATTGTGTAACTTGAATGTATGCTTTCCAGACCTCATAGACAGGATACAAGTAGTTAAAGCAAGCCCATAATGATTGTAATATAGTTATATGTTCATATACTTAAAAAATACCTTCTTGTCAGAACTCTATGAGTTAAACAGTAGCAGCTTGAACATCAAAGTCCAAAACAATAACAGTGAACTGTCAAAGTGACCACGCCCCCTTTGAATTGAAACATTATATCTGCGGTTTTATAGCATAAAACCGTATTAAACTCTGCCAAACATTGACATGTTAAGTTTAAATAGTAATTCAAATCAAAATGCGGTCTTTGTTGTACATATGAAGCCCCTAAACGGCTTCCCACTTCGACTTCGGCCTACCCAGAATGCAACCACTATCAAACTTAGTCAAACATAGTCAAATGTTCACAACAATGTCAGCCAAGGACACGCATATATTCTCGGAGTGTTAAAAAGACGAGTGGAGCTCGTTCACGGATCTACAGTTAGCGTTAGTGCCACAATGGCGTCCTAAAAACACCGCTGTCCTGTGCCTCACTGACAGTCATACACAGCTGAAAAAAGTTCTGAAAAGTTTCCCAAACTCACCGTCCTCTCGATAAGTCGCATTTTCCTCCTCGTCTCTTGTTACTTGAGTGATTATTGACGGCGAATGGTCCATTAGGTCCGTCACTCAAAAACAAACACTGTATTTCTGCGGTAAAAAAGTTAGTTCGAAGAGTTGTGCAAAATAATTATTTATATTTTGCCACTCCCTGTCTGCAAACGGGCATACTGAGTGCAAAACGAAAGAGAAGCTCTAAACGGCGGAAAAGCTTACAAAACCGAACATATCCGACTAAACTACTCTAAAATGCTAACGTTTTAAAGTATCTAAAATAGTTGTTTCTAAAAGTTACGTTGAAGAAGTTAATCAATTTGACCATGCAAACATGGAACTTGACGGTTTCAAGGAAGCCCCATTCTTAAAGCCACAATGCAGGATGTGAAGCTTTTCACTAAACAGCACTGTACGTGTAACGGGTTACTCGTCTACTTGGGGGATATTATTTTGGGATGTTTCAATACGTTTGTTGCGTTTTATTTTATTGTGGGTAGGCCTATACATTCACCAAATACAAGTGCTACAAAAAGTATAAAACCGATATTCTTGTTATTGTTTTTATAGTTGTGTGGCGTTTAAGAGACGTTTCTTGCGAGTGACGTATTTTTTAAGGTTACTTATATAGGTTAGTTCATGCACAACTTTTACGTTTAACGGGGGCAGCCTTGAAACCGACCGAGAGAAAGAGGAAGTTAGGGACTGTCTTTAAAGTGCCCACATCTAAGATCGAAGTAACTCTCCTCTGTGGGAAACATCTCCAGAAATATCCTCCACTATGTAAACAAGGATGATTACAACATTTTTTAAACTAGAGCTGCTATTATTTTGAATATATGCTATTGTTATCGAAATATAATAAGATAGTAATAATGTATTGCATGTATAAAGCAGTTTACTAAAAGACAGTGAGTACATTGACATATTTAAATTATAAAAAGAAAACATTTCTGGAATACAAATTATTTTTATTTGATCAAAAAATGCTCCATATTTTTATTGTTTTTATGTTGGATAGTTGTTGTTTTTAAAAATAAATGTGATAAGTTGAGGATCTGTGGGGTTTATTCTCCCAAAAATATAATTTACAATTTAGGCATTTAGCAGACAAATAAATCAATGTATGGGAAACACTGCAACCTGTTATAATAAAGGATAATGTAGTAGAGGCAAACTGATCCACTTTGTGATACCTATGTGACTATATCAACTAAAGCTGAAATCTAACCCCTTGATGCAACTTTCTGTCTATATTTACTACCCTTTCACACCAAGGCTTTTCCCGTTCTAGCTCCGTGCTAGAGCTTTTCTGGTTCAGAACCGGTTCTTCGGTTCAGCTCCCGCTCTGTTCACACCGCTCAGAGCCCGACTGGTGCTGCCGCTGCTGCGTCATGACGTCGCTGATTTTCTCCCCAACGGAGCTCACAACAACAACGGGCCGGGGACTGCGTCGGGTCGATGATCGTGTTGCTTTTAATCATACGAAGCCAGATTAAATTAAATAACGACTTCTCCAACCTTATACTTTTCTCCAGAGTGCCGTGGTTCATTGTTTATTAATGTGTTTCAGCGGCATTTACCGACCGCTGCAGTGCTGGCTGCTCTTCCACGGGAGTGTATTCTCCCGTTCGCTCCGGGTTAGCTCACACGGCTCTAAAGTATTCACTGTCTGACTGTCACACAAGCAGCTGATACATATCCCCAGTTCCCCTTAAGTGAATGTGTGTCAGTCTGAATTGACGCTGTTTGGTGTCAGTCTGAATTGACGCTGTTTGGCATCACAACGCTGTTATGAAAGTTTCTCTGGTATAACATGGGTGATGTTAGCATAGCAACCGAAGCTAAACTGACTACTTGCTAAGCCGTTTTCTACAGGCACTTTTTACCGGCGTATTTTTCATTATGATTCTACTTGTGATAGTCGTATTGATTCCATCCGATTGCTGCTATAATAACAAACAAAACGTCTGCCTGCTCTCCACAATGATCAATAACAGCGAACGGATGGTCAAAGTAAGGTACAAATAAACAGAATCACACGAAGCCTGGTTAGTGTTGCCTGACTTTATAAAGCGTGTTTTTTTTTTTACAAGTGTGTGGTTGCGTTCTAGTCACTTTGCTCAGCATACTGCTTGTTACAACTTTTATTTGCCGTACTCGCCTTAACTGTTAGCTCAGGTTAATCTCGCCCCCCTCCGACGTAAGCGTGACGTATGCGGTTCTTGCTTCTAGACGGACAACTTTTTGGTGCTCGAAACGAACCGGATTCCGGAGCTTAGAGGCTGCTCCGCTGCGGTGTGAACAGGAAAACCCGGTGCTTTTCAAGCACCAGATCCGAACCGGCCCTGAAACACCGTTGGTGTGAATGGGTAATCTACAATCAGCACACACACAGCTGAGTCGAAATGGTTTCATACATGTTACAAGTTGTAATTCCTGTGACCACAGCGAGATGGTGCTGTCTGCAAAAATATCAGGACTATACACATAATCAATTCCATTCAGGTTCACCTTTTCTATCAAAATACAAAGTATATATATTTTTTATTAATTTTGAAAATATACAGAAGATAATGTGAATGAACACTTGTTGCCATTGACTATCGGCATGCAATTAATAGAATTTGGTGCAGATAACATGATATCATCCAGATAGGCAAAATGTAGTAACCAATCGATAGATGTGAAATGTTTCAGTGGACTTCAGTGATCGTTAAAGTCACATTCTACACGTACATATTCGTTTGTCTATTAATCCTATTTCCATTGTTCATTGTCTTTTCCGCCAAAATCAAGCATAACAACTTTTTTTGCGACATTTAGCGATATTTAAAGAATGTGAATGTATTAGGCTTATTTTAAACTGCGCATACTAACAGGTGGAAGGTAACGCAACAATACTAGACTTTTGGAAACCTCTTATCAACTTTAGATTAGACAATCAATACCAGTCTCATATCTTTCCTGTAAATATAAGTCTACACTCAGCAGCTGTTTAGCTTAGCTTAAAGACTAGAAATAGAATTTTTTTATTATTACATTTCTTACCTTGGAAACCCTCGAAGTTGCACTCCTTCAGATCCACTTTAGTCAGCACCCCAAAACACTTCAAGCTTAATATGAAAAGGTCCTCAAGGATCAGTTAGAACATGTCATCAAACAGACGTTCGTTTCCCTTCTTTGGATATCAGGAAATACTCAGCTTGATGAAATGTATTTAAGACGTGCACCACGTTTTGGAGATAATTTCCTGTCTCTATAAAGCCTTCATATCAAATACTCCTGAGCATTTCAAGCGAGTTTGTTTGCTGTTGAACAGTCCTCCCTGGGGAGAATATACACATAATTCGACGTCAGGGTCATCCGAACTAAAAACATTGTATGACAATAACCTAAAATCATTTTATTTTATATTTAGAATGGTTCATATTAAATTCATAGCTCTGCTCCACTTTTCCTATCACCCTTCCATCCACTGTAAGAACAAAATGGACCGTTGTATCCATATATTTTTGTCACATTTCCTTTATTGTTCATAGCCATAAGAGCTGTCATGCCTTTTTTCCATGCCAGATTCAGAAGGATCACAAAATAAAAAGCAGCAGCTTTAACAAACACAGTCACTCAATAAATGAACAAATTGCGAAACACACACGAAGCAGTCACATTCATATAATCCAAATAAAGAACTTGTCATTCATGTAACAAATCTATTTTCTCTGTGGGTCTAATATCCATAAGGAGGCACTGCAACACATTCCACAAAATACGGCATTGTATTACAAAATGTGGAGCATTAAAAAAAAAAATTCTAAACCCTGTTGTCTGCTTATAAATAGTTGCAATTTGTATATGATTAAATAACGTAATACATTGCACATGTGTTATATTGACGTTGAGAATTGAATGCAAAATTGCACTCTCATGCTGATCGTGCATGTTTTCATTTAGCTTTAAAACATTACTTTGCATATAGGAAAATGAAAAAAGAGTTGCAGAGAAGGGCAGTATTTATCTTGCAATAGCATACAGAAGAGGATGAGGCATGTCACATGTGGCACTAATCATCTTCCGTACCTTAGAATATATAGAACTAGCTAAATCATTTCATAGAATTACAAACATTCTTTTAGTCAATGCACAGATTCAAACATATCTTGATTAAGCTGGATGTATGAAGCAGTTTTATGTAGTGTTGTTGTGAAAGTCCTTTTTACCTTCTTTTGTATAGTCATATGTCACGGAAATTAAGTCATGTTTAGTGTGCAAATCTGTACCTTATATAAACACAAAGTGATCAGAAATCTGACATTTGTGCAAAAGTTTCACATGCTGGTTTTAAAACTGAGTTTACCCTCACAAGGCAAAGCAACATGAAAGAAACAATACAATTTAGCCGTTTGATGACCAGAGAAAATATCACTGATTCATGAAAAAAAAGTTATAGCAGATGTGCTGGTACCGACGCCAGAGGATAGAATTCCAGAACAAAAGTGGATATTAGGCATTCACACAATTGTTTTTGGAACAGACATTAAACACCATATGCCGCAGAGTCATATTCTACTTTCAATCCAACCAAAGAGCCAATATCAGTATGCGTTTGATTATAATCTTCAAACTTAGAGGTCAAGTTTTATGCTATAAGGGGCAAAGAGATATATATATATAATATTTAACCATTCTGCAACTGTTAAAAAGTAAATCTCTCATTTCTATCCTCTTGAAGATGACACGTTTTTTTAACAATATTTATTTGAAGGTAAATTCCTCAAAATATCCCATATAAAGAGTGTGGGATAAGAGTAGGTGTCTCTTACATATAATAATGATATTTCCTAGAGCTGCATGTATTGATATTTATGTGTGGACCACTGTGTTTGGTCAATTGGATGGCCTCGTAAACAAGGTGTATGACGCTTCATTTAGGGAATAACAATTACATTATATTTTTTAATTGGATTATCACCATTTTCAATCTTACCTAACTTTATTTATACAAGATTTGGCCATTTATAAAATCTAATTAAATCAAACCTTTTTTTAAAAGCGGTAGCTGTTAGCAATTGAATATTACAGCTAAAAAAAGAACTAAACCGCTTGCTTGTGTCTTTATAAACTGTCTTTCTCAATGAATTGGAGAGGCTATTTTTTATGCTAACTGGTTAAGGGCACTTGGAGGAACCCCAGTATCACCAGTGGGCTTCTAAAGTGATTCACTTTACAACTAACCCCCCTGAATAATTAATTATGACAATGATCTTGGATAGTAGGCAAAGTGCTGTATGCACAGTCTACAAATACACTAGCTGACTGACTCAGCAAACTTGTAAACTTCATATTAGTAAACTCAGAGATGGGATAAATATAGCTTATCACTGCAGATTCTTTCAACTGGGATAAGTGGAAGAACTTAGCTAAACTGGAAGCTAATTTGCCAAAATGAAGGTCTTATTACAAATTGCAAAACAAAAATCAGATTTTCAATGATCGAATAAATAACATAAGGGGAAGTGTTTTGTGCTGATAGTAAGAGTCATTTTTCTAATAGCCCTTGTAAAAAATCTTCTCATATGTCCTCTGAATTTAAAAAGTAACCGGACATGCTACAATCTTCAAGATGCTACAGCAGTATAAAAACGTAGGTACTGTAGCACAGATAACACTGCTTTAGTGATTAATCGTGGGCGTAGAATTAGCCATCATAGAATGAACCCCTGGTTGGGAAACATTTGAATATGAAACTAAGAGTAAAGGGAAACAAGGCATCAATTGTTTTAGCACTCCAGGCTTTGAAATTGTGCTTCATTATTTTGGAAAGTGGTGAAAAACGTAACTTAAGTAAAACCTCAAACTTCTATTTCCACTCTTTCAGGCCTTCCACGGTGGGTCTATGTACCAATATGCATTCCCTCTAGCAAGGTTGACGGTAAGAAAGGGTTTATCCAAAATGTTACAAACCTTGAGGTACTAACTTGAAGACAACATCCTGCCTTGTGTGAACAAGGTCCACCATATAAAAATACAGTCAGGCTCATGTGACTTTATAAGAGTTCCCTTAAGTGCGTCTCTGCTGCCACTGCTGGTTTCTTGAGTTTTATTTTCAAGTTCAACGACTCCATCCTGAAGGGACCATCCCATCCCGCGGCCCAAAGTCTTGTGTCGCTCTAAGGATGCCCCCCATCCCCTCCTGACATTCCGTGTTGGAAGCCTGTGTTCACTGGGTGACAGTTGTGGTGGGTGTGGTTGGCACATTTGGCGTGGCGGGGCTGGTGGGGGTATGTGGCGAGCTTTGGTAGGACCGCAGGAGGACTTTGTGCTTGGTGGCGACCTGCTCTCGCCTGCGCTGCTGGTCGGCCAAGAATTCCTTGAGGCGGGTGGTGGTGAAGGTGAGGGTCTGCCTGCGGAGCCGCATCAGGTACGCGTCTTGGAGCCAGGAGTTATTGAAGCAGTCCTTAATGGAGGGACGGGCCCTGTGGAAGAAGAACATATTTGGAGATTTGAGAGAGACTTATTACAGCTTTTATTTTGTCATTGTCCTTGTGTCGTGTCCTCGTCTTTGTTGTTATGTTTGTCTTCCAAAAATGCGCAATAAAATATTACTATAAAAAAGTACTTAAATATATTTATAACACAGATTAGTAGAATATTTTATTCTGATTGGTCAATTTGGTCATGCATTGCTCTGCTCGTTTTCCATAGCACACTGTTGCTAAGGATAGCAGACTGTTATTTGTTTAACTGTCTTATTGTTTTATGTCCTACAGACTGTATACTATGTTGCACTGTTGGAGGAGCTCGGGATTTAATTGCCATAACTACACTGGAGCTACTCTGCATATGACAATAAAGACTTTGAATCTGTTGCTATGGATAGCAGACCGTTGCTAAGGATAGCAGATCGTTGATAAAGTTAGCAGACGTTGCTAAGGATAGCAGATCGTTGCTACAGATAACAGGCCGTTGCTATGGATAACAGCTTGTTGCTAAAGATAGCAGAACGTTGCTAAGGATAGCAGACATTTGCTGAGGATAGCAGACCGTTGCTAAGGATAGCAGACCGTTGCTATTGGAAGCAGTCTGTTGCTATGGATATCAGACTGTTGCTTAAGACGCTCTAATGAAGAGTCTGCAGTCATAACAATCCGTAAAAAGAAATCCGGTCAATTGAACGTTTAGCTGTGGCACAAATTCGTTTTTTTTCAAAAAACATAGTGTAATACTCTTTGAATAATCATTTATTAATTTCAGAAGCGCAGCAGTCTTTGGATTCATGATGGCGTAACGGTCCCCAGTAAATAACTTAAAGAGTACAAATAAAAGAAAACAAGATAAGGAAAGAGGTTAAAAGACACAGAGAGCTGGACGACAAAGTAAGTAAACATTTTTTCTTTGCGTAAGCAAAATAATACATTTTAAATGAATATGCTGCTTCATATTATTGATGCATTTAGTAACTTGCCATGTATTAAGCAGGATCATGTACAGTAAGCTGGGTATTATATTGAAAGAACCCTTTAAACCTTTCCACTTTGTGTCGGGGTCATATCACCCTGTTGAAGTTCCTTAAAGAGGACATATTATGCTCATCTTCAGGTTCATATCTGTATTGTGTGCCTCTACTGTGACATCTTTCCATGCTTTAATGTTCAAAAAGCATAATAGGGCCTCTTTAATCTAATGAGCGACTTGCAGCATATTATCCCTTACATATATATTTTGTGAAAAAAAGTGATGTATAGCTATGATATAGCAATAGGAGTTGATAGATATTCTTTACAGTATCTGAATAACAAAGCATTCACGTTCAGCTTACCAGGGGTAGCTACAGAGGATCTTTTTAAGAAACAGAGAGGCACTTTGGGACACATTCTGGTAGAGTTTAGACAGGTCAAACTTCGCCGCCTGGATCCTGGCTTCAGTCTCCTGAGGCTCAATTTCAATGAAAGGCGACTTGCCGCTCAACCTGGAAAATCACAGAGGGGAATTCTAGACATTTACAAAACCCCTCAAAACATGTCAACAATGCATAACAAAATACAGTTCATTAGGCTAGTTGTTAATGAAATGAATATCACAAGAGCAACAGGCTGTTAACATGATGTGTAATTAGAGTATCCTGAAAAGATAAAAAATGCTCATTTCAATCGTATAGGCCTTATATCACATAAAGAACACATTTCTATGTAAAGACGTATTGCTGGGTGGAAGCTGTGGAAGCAGGGCTCACATGATGAAGGTCAGCACGCCCACGCTCCAGATGTCAGCTGGAGGACCCACCACGTCCCCCTTCAACATCTCCGGAGCTGCACACAGGAGAGAGGAACAATGCACAGCCTTCATTATTTTACACAGAACTATAATGAAATATTTTTGTAGCACACAAACACTGCAGTTCGTGACATATTCCCTATGATTCTGTGTTTATGATTAATAGTGTGTGATTGCAGTTTAAGTTGGTTCAAATACTCATGTGCTTTCATAGCTGCTGCACCTCCAATCACAAAACAGAAACCATACACATTCATTCTGTATCAATACTCTCAAGAGAATTAACGAAAAGTGAGATCTTTCCATTGTTCTATATTTTACCTGAGATATTTCTGTGTTATAGAATATATTATGAGTGTTTTCTTCCTAATAAATTAGCACAGAAAGATATTTAAAAATCCACACTCAAGGTGTAAACTATAGCTAACATAAAGAAGTATGACTTATATCAGGTGTATCTACACTCTGATAGGTCTGTGTAACCAAGAGCTCTTACACATATACTCCAGTGTTCCAATAGGAGGGCTGAACTGCTTGAGGAAGAGCGGGTTGTAATTCTGAGAGCTGCCGAAGTCGATGATCTTGATGACATTCATGTAGGTGATGATGATGTTCTCCGGCTTGATGTCCAGGTGGAGGATGCGTCGTGTGTGGAGGTAATCCAGACCCTGGAGGATCTGTACGATGTAGGTGACCACGTCATCCTCCGAGTAACGGAACCTGAAACACACAGCTTGTTAGAGGGAGAATATTTGAAGGCGCATTAATGCATCTGAGCATCCGTTGTCTTCACCTGTCTATGAGGCTGAAGAGCAGCTCCTTCCCGCTGCAGTACTCGGAGATGAGCACCAGGTAGCGCGGTGTGACGTAAGCTTCGTGCAGAGCCATGATCCTGTCATGGTGAAGGGATTTGAGGATGTCGTATTCCTGCAGCACCGTCTGCTTGTTGTCCGCCTCGTATGGAACGATCTTAGCCATGAAGAGGTTTCCTGTGGCGTTCTCCCGGCACTCACGGATCACACCAAACCGACCCCTGTGTGAAAAAAACCCATTATATTACATTTTGAAATGCTTTACTGTACGAGCACCAGTGACGTGCGGTGAGGTTCATGGCTGGTGAGGCACTGACTCTTTCAGAGTCAGATTTACAAATATTATATTTTGACCTTAATCGAAATATTCGGTTATTTTCAAAAGCTTTTTTAGTCTGATGCTTCGATTCATTTTAAACAGACCGTTCAACAAAAGGATACCCAAAATCTAAATATTGGATTGTTCTTTCTTAGCAAGATCCCATTTTCATTACAAATGTGGTCTTACCTTGACTTGAAGATGAAGTCCATGCTATCCTTCTGGACAACAATCTCTATTACTGTTTTGTAAAAGTCCTCCTTATCTCTCTAGTTTCAAAAGTCTAGTTTGTTGTTTGCGTCTACCGTCTCTTCGTAGAATAACAGTAGCAACAAGAACCTGTGGGCTCACGTGCGCCCCCTTCAGTGCGGCAGAGGTTATGGCTGCCTCTCCTGGTGCTTTTTTCATTGCCGTTGTACGATGAGACCAGCGAGCCTAAATATCATATATACGTGAAATAAGTTATTTAGAGACTATGGATGGCGAGGATAAATGTAATAAAGGGATCTACAAACATTACATTGGTGACCTACAGTAAGATGGTAACAGGCATGCGCTTAGGGCCCGCTTTCCAGACAGTTTCTGTGGGGTGACGCATTCTGAAGTGAGGCAGATCTCATCTGTGCCTCACCTTACCCCACAGTAACTGGCTTGAGCGCGCTCACAAAATAAGTGGCCGCGCTAAATTAGTGCCCGCGCTCCAGCAAGTTACTGTGGGCTTACGAGAGGCAGAGCTCGTCCCTGCCTCACTTCTCATCGCTCCCGTAGCGGATCTCGGCAAATTTGCTGATTTTGACTATAAAAAGCGATTGGAATCATACATAAATCACATTTACACAAGATCAGTGGAGACATTTCATTATTATTATTATTTAGTTTTTCTTTAATTGTTTTTCCGTTACATTGGAGTATGACAGGTGAGGCTCTGCCTCCCCTGACTGCACGTCGCTGACGAGCACACAGAGATTTTTGAACAGATATTAATGGCATGTCTGACAAAGACGACAGTCTGAATTTGTGTTCCAATCTGTAAAATAAAAGAAGAAAAACACACTTTTGAAAAGTTGTCCCTTTTGCTCCGCTGCATACTAGATAAGCGTGTTATACAGATGAGACATGTTTAATGTTAGATCATTTTTTACTCCTTTTTTACTTAACCTTGTGTTTATTGTATTCATTGTTTCTGTTTGTGTTTTTCCATTTTTGTGTGACTGAATACAGCAACTATGTGTGGTGATAATTGTATATCATATGACTGTTAACAGCTGTATTTTGCATTGTTATACATTTACATTTTTTAAAACATCCTCTTTTATTCAAATTAAAGGAGACCTATCATGCTATATTTGAATAATATATTGTAGGGCCATACCTATATAAGGTATATTTATACGTTTTATTTGTCAAAATACCAAACAGATCATGCATTTTAGCCATGCCTCATTTCGCTCTATTTTGCTCTCCTCCACCCTGTCTTTGCATGCGCTGCAGCTGACCACGCCCCCCTGCAAAGGAGGGGGCCGAGTTACGAGAGTCGTGTTACCATGCTGTTACCATGCCACGGCAACCTCTCATTCCCCTGATTGGTGGAGAGTTGGCCATATAGGCGGAGCTCCTCGTCACTGACGTCAGACTATTTTCAAATCTGGATCAGTTTTTATCAGATCCGTTGCAGCCCCGTTTTTAGAGATTTGGGTATGGAGGAAAAGAGAGAGGGTTGAGTTTTCTGACACTTGGTGAGTTCCCTGGAACACCGGGGACACATATTCATGTATAAAAGACGTACAAAAGTGCATTTTGCATGATAGGTCCCCTTTAAGTAAAAAATTACGAATTTCAACATGTCATATTAAAGGCTAACTCTGAAAGATTATGCTCCTTTAAAAATGTTTTATTAATAAAGCCTGTCTTTGTTTTCTTTACTTCCCAACAGTTTAAGTTTAAGAATGCTTATATTTTACTTAAAGTGGACCTATCATGCTATATTTGAATAATATAGTGTAGGACCATACCTATATAAGGCATATTTATACTTTTTTTTTTTTCAAAATACCAAACAGATCATGCATTTTAGCCATGCCTCATTTTGCTCAATTTGAATTTTTTTAGCTCTGTTTGTATAAGGGCAGAACAGCACCACCTACTGGCCTGGCATATGTACTACAGCGTCTCCAGCGCTTTCGAACGGCAATGGCCGTGGCCGTCTCCTCCTGATTGGTGGAGTTGGCCCAATAGCCGTAGCGCCACCGTCCTGACGTCAGGACAGTGTTCAAATCTGGATCAGTTTTTATCAGATCCGTTGCAGCCCCTTTTTTAGAGATTTGGGTATGGAGGAAAATAGAGAGGGTTGTGTTTTCTGACACTTGGTGAGTTCCCTGGAACACCGGGGACACATATTCATGTATAAAAGACGTACAAAAGTGCATTTTGCATGATAGGTCCCCTTTAAGTATAATTACCTAACAAACACGATGAATGTACTCCGTAGCATATGATTATAATTGTTGTGTTTGTTGCATTTTACTGCTGTAGAAGTTGTGCTCATTTTTACTCAATATACTTTGGGTAGTCGAATCTACAGCAATGCACACATTCTTTAGTTGATGTGTCGATTGGTTTAGCCTTTGTACAATTGTGCAGCTTTGCACCATGATGTATTAGAGAACTGGATACAGCTTTGGGGGCGGGACTCCGCTCATTCCTAAAGTAGCTCAGTGGTGCATGAAACGGTCTCAGCGCAGTGAAATGAATGGAGAGGGAAAATCATTTGGCATTAATGCATTCGTCCTGGGAAGTTAATTGACATAAAAAACAATTATCCTCTAAATTGACATACGTCTCTTTTCCATTGTAAGTCATGGCCCGATGATGTCATGTGACTGACACAGAAGTTGTAGTACCAGTGTTTGGCCACTACACACATTTGCTTCAACTTCCTAAAGCGCTTGCTTTACGGTCTAAACGTTGCTGTCTCTTGTTTCTAAGGTAGAGTTTGTTCAGTACGTTTATTTGATATTGTTTTTGTATATTAAATTCCGGTCCCTACAGTAGTCATTACCTTGCTTTCTCATCCATGAAGGTGTAAGGCTTCTGTGGGACTCCCTGGCGCAGGGATCCCTCTCCGGGCCGTCCCAACGGCGTCCTGCGGCCCGAAGGTGTTGCCCGTCCTGATGGTGTGACTCGTCCTGATGGTGTGACTCGTCCTGATGGGGTACCTCGGTTGTCCCCTCCCTGCACTAGTGGTGTCAAGCTCTGCACCACCACTACGGGCGGGGAGATGGTCACGGATGGTGAGACGGTCACATGAGGTGAGACGGTCACAGGGGTAACAGTAAGGGTGATGGTTGCCGGGGTGGAACTAGATTGTGAAGGTGCAGTAACACACGCGGTCACAGCCGGCGCATACATTGGAATGGAAGAAATAGGTTTCCCTATGGCAGGTGCAGGTGGTGGTAGAGGAGAAGGTGTTTTCCTGGTTGAGGGGGGCACAGGACTTTGAGGTTTGGGTGGGACAACAGGGGGAGGAGCCAGTTTGGTCTGGGGCTTGCTCATGCTGATACTCAGGGTGCTCTTGGCTTTGACTGGAGCAGCTGTGGTGGTCGGAGCTGTGGTGGTCGGAGCTGTGGTGGTCGGAGCTGTGGTGGTCGGAGCTGTGGTGGTCGGAGCTGTGCTAACGGGCGGAGTAACAGCAGCAACCTTCACAGTGGTTACTGTAGAGGCAGATTGAGCCACAGATGGAGCGGGAGCTGAAGTCGAGGGAGGGGCAGGTGTTACCGGGGAGGATTTATTGGAAGCAGGTTTGATGGGAGGCACTTTCATAGATGACATCATCACCACAGGGGCAGGAGGAGTCGTTGATGGGACAGTCTTCACCACAACAGTAGCACTGGACTTAGCTGGTTCTAAGGAAAGACAAAGAGGACAAAACTCAAAGACTTGATTTGATATGTGAACAAGACAAATTATAAAATGTAATGATCTATGACTAGAATGCCATTTTTTACCTCATTGGGTTTGAATAATTTCTAATGTGCAACAAGCAATACTATCAACATACAAATTCAAACCCAATTATGCCTTGAGCAAAACAAAAACTACACTGAAACAGAAAACGGTCATTTTCGGAATCGGAACACTATAATTATAGTTTTTGTTTTTTTACAGTTGCTCATGTTTAAATGTGAAATAAAATAAAGTAGAATAAAATATTGATATAAACATAAGAAGTCAAAGTAAAAATGTCCAATAAAAGACTTAATAAAAAAAATATATAAACATAAGAAGTCAAAATAGAAATGTCCAACAAGACAACAACAAAAATTAATCTAATAAAATATTTATATAAATGTAAGAAGTCAAAGTAAAAAAAATCATGTGTACTATGTTCTAAAATATAGATCTATAACACATGTATTACTATATATACATACAGTGTTGTATAAGTATTAATAAGATATGAATGCTGAATTGCACAGTTAAAGAGGGTGTGTCTGCTGATGGTGAAGTCAGTCAAGTCTATTGGGAGGAGTTAAAAAGTGTAATGGCCACAGGCAGAAAGGATTCCTGTGGCGCTTTGGTGCATCTCGGAAGAATGAGTACATTTTAAAGGACATACATGAATAAGTACATTGAAAACCAAAACAAAATACAGAGATTTGTTATACTTGAATACATACCTGAAGCATCCAGGCTTACTATCTCTGAGAGGTTGCTGTAAGGGCCCTGTCCAGCTTTGTTTACACATGCCACCCTGAACCTGAAGGCGCCCCCTGCTGGCAGGTCAGACACATTGAAATAACAGTCTGCCACCCCTGTAGCCACGATCAGCCAGTTGGTCTCACCTGGGGAGGAAAAATAAGATCAGTCTCATTCATAACACCAGAGATAGAGTTTATTATACACTTTTGTGTGATTACTCTAAATCAAATTCATGCACATCTGGTGTTGCTATTTATAAGCTAGTCCCATTTCTGTGTTGACGTATAGATTGACCAAATGGAAAAGCCCTATTTGTAATCCTTTTAGAACCTATGGTAAACAGTAATAATCATTTGAAGGTGCATTTGTGGAAATCGGACAATAATCATTTATTTAAAAAAGAAGGAATAAAACATGAAGTAATTGTTAGTAGAAACTTACTCTCTGCTTTTCTCTCCAGAGAATATGTGCAGGGGGCCATTGTGTCTGAGGGCCTCCACAGTACCAGAGCTGTATTGTTGTACTTCTGAGGTATTTCAGGGGTCCCGGGACGGTTGGGCAGACCTGTATAAACAAATATTGTCATTATAAAGTACATCATTTACCCATTGTTTTTTATTTTTTAGGATCTCTTGTTGTCTACCCTGTAGCCTATTACATCACTTGTTACTATACCTTATTATATATAATCTGATAATAAAAGTGATGTCAGTTCTTACGAGCAAGAGATATTGTGCAAGAGCTGGACACTGCGGCCAGGGGGTTCGTAGCAACACATTCATAGACCCCTGCATCCTTTTTGGTGGTCTGCATGATCATCAGTAGCTGTCGGCCATCAGGGCAGGCGATCAGGTTCATCCTGGCGTCAATCTCCAGGGGCTTCTTATCTGAGGAAACATTCATTAAAAAAGTATTTTATTATGAGTTTATAATAATGATGATGTAGGTTTATTAAAACAATTTAAGGGTTGATTCTTTAATCTCTCAAAGTTCTGCTACTGTAGGGTTAAAAATAACATGTGTACGAACACATAACTGTTTGAATCCATTTCATAAGTAATAAGAAATCTTATCTCCTCTACTATTGCAATATATGCATATGCACGCCACATTTATGCCTCTGCTGCACTCATGCAATCATGAATAATTATGTATAGTATTGTAATTAGCAAGTGAAGTGATTCTGACCAGCCATCTGTGAGACCATCACTTATACCCCTTTCACACCAACGGTGTTTCAGGGCCGGTTCGGTGCTGGTGCTTGAAAAGCACCGGGTTTTCCTGTTCACACCGCAGCGGAGCAGCGTCATAGCTCCGGAATCCGGTTCGTTTCGAGCACCAAAAAGTTGTCCGTCTAGAAGCAAGAACCGCATACGTCACGCTTACGTCGGAGGGGGGCGAGATTAACCTGAGCTAACACTTAAGGCGAGTACGGCAAATAAAAGTTGTAACAAGCAGTAGTGCTGAGCAAAGTGACTAGAACGCAACCACACACTTGTTAAAAAAAACACACTTTATAAAGTCAGGCAACACTAACCAGGCTTCGTGTGATTCTGTTTATTTGTACCTTACTTTGACCATCCGTTCGCTGTTATTGATCATTGTGGAGAGCAGGCAGACGTTTTGTTTGTTATTATAGCAGCAATCGGATGGAATCAATACATGGGCTGCACAGGTTGTCATGTCCGACTATCACAAGTAGAATCATAATGAAAAATACGTCGGTAAAAAGTGCCTGTAGAAAACTGCTTAGCAAGTAGTCAGTTTAGCTTCGGTTGCTATGCTAACATCACCCATGTTATACCAGAGAAACTTTCATAACAGCGTTGTGATGCCAAACAGCGTCAATTCAGACTGACACCAAACAGCGTCAATTCAGACTGACACACATTCACTTAAGGGGAACTGGGGATATGTATCAGCTGCTTGTGTGACAGTCAGACAGTGAATACTTTAGAGCCGTGTGAGCTAACCCGGAGCGAACGGGAGAATACACTCCCGTTGAAGAGCAGCCGGCCAGCACTGCAGCGGTCGGTAAATGCCGCTGAAACACATTAATAAACAATGAACCACGGCACTCTGGAGAAAAGTATAAGGTTGGAGAAGTCGTTATTTAATTTAATCTGGCTTCGTATGATTAAAAGCAACGCGATCATCGACCCGACGCAGTCCCCGGCCCGTTGTTGTGAGGTGAGCTCCGGCGTTGGGGAGAAACTCAGCGACGTAAACTGTGACGTCATGACGCAGCAGCGGCAGCACCAGTCGGGCTCTGAGCGGTGTGAAAAGAGCCGGCGCTAAACCGAAGAACCGGTTCTGAACCAGAAAAGCTCTAGCACGGAGCTTGAACCGGAGTTGCGTTGGTGTGAAAGGGGCATTAGGCCCCACTCACACGGGAACGTTTGCGTTTATGCACAGTATGCGTATTCAAAAAAGTCTTCCGTTCACATGCATTTGTTTCATTTAACGTGTCTGTTCAAACGAGGCCGCTGGAAACGCTGTAGTACATATGCCGGGACTGTAAGTGGCGCTGTAACTTCCGCCAAAATACACCAAAAGCAGCGAAGAAGAGCAGCCCGAGCAGCCCCGCAGCAATGTTGCCATGGCTACCCTTCTGTTTAAGCCCCGCGGTGTATTTAGCAACATGTAGTTCATGTAATTCTCCATGTCCACTTGTTGCTGATGGTTGTGGTAGAGGAGCTGTAGATTTTGCACTAATATCTGTAGCATGGTCAGTAGCAGTAGCACTAGCAGTAGCTACTGACAGGAGGAAGTGTGTGTGGCGATTGCTGGTATTCAGCGGGATATAGTAATTTCCTCAGCATGTAAATATATGGATAAATGCAACGGGGAAGTTAACTGAAAGAAACCGAATCTGTGGATATTGCATCGACCGACCAAGAAGCACGTCTCCGTGGAGAGGACGCGCTCAGAAAGAGAGATATTCTCTACAAACACCGGGTGAGATCGCTCCTTTGTCAATATAATGGATCAATGCATGAAATCTGACTCTGTTTATTTTGTTTAAGGAGTATATTGGGCGTTAACAATTCTGGTTTGCCTTTTATAATATTATTTCATTCAAGAACCCCTTGTGCGTTTAATTAACACAGCTATTTTTGATAGTTGCTACAGCAGTGAGCAGGAGAGGTGGGGAGAGGTGGGGCTATCGTTATTTTTTCAGGAAATATTCGTATAGAGGTGATTACACGGACTCGGTTGACCCCCCAGAGCGTTTCGTTTGCAAATCTATCCACCTTGGGACCCGTTATCGTTTGTGGGGTCAGTTTCTATCGGCCTCGTGTAAATAATAGGGCTATACGCACGCGAAACTATGCAGATACAAGCAGTTTTCTCCTCGTGTAAATGGCGCCTTAGGTAACACTGCCTTATTTACATCACAGACCCTTACCTTTCATCCAGTGGATGTGTGGGTGGGGGCTGCCAGCTGGCAGACAGCTGAGTGTGACTGGATCTCCTTCCAGCAGGACATGGTCTCTAAGCTTAATGTGGAATACTGGAGGGAAATCTGTGAGGAAAGACATATAATCACTTAAATATTATGTCCATACTGTTTTCTTTATAAGCACAATTAAAAACTATGATTGACTGTACACAGTGAAGGTTAAGACAAAAACAAACACTATAAACACTGTGCAACTTCTGGCATAACTGGTAAACTTTGTTTTATTTCATTTCTACAACTTATCCCTATTCATTTTTGCTACTGCAATGAAGAACTCCACTTTTATGACATACAAAGGCATCACATGTGTTATGGTTTGGCAGGCCATTTATGCAGTGTTTTAGTAGGGGATTATGTGGCCGGCTATTTGTAGACCAAGAGCAGTCACTTCCTGAAGTGCTGGTTGCCTGGACATCTCACGGTGATGACAAGAGCAACTGGGTTTGTATTCTTTCTGCTAAGCTCCCTATATTCAACAGACAGATACAAGGATGGTCTTTTTTTATCTAGTTCTCGATAAGATAGAGAAAATTGCACCTCCCAAAATGTCTAACTATTACTTGCTACCAGGCTTGGAATTTTGTCATTTTAGGGGCAAGGCCATTTGGCCTTTGGTGTCACCATTTTGTTTAGGGCACAAAGGCCACATGCCAGGGCACAAAGGCCACATGCCAGGGCACAAAGGCCATTGAGGGAACAATTTGGATTTGGAGCTTACAAATAAATAACTTACATTTTCTGAAAAACACACGAATGACATGGAAAACAAATCACTTTTTTAATATCAATAATGTCAAACATTATAATCATATAGGCCTATGCCTCCTTAGTATTACCGTATATAAAATGAAATACTCTACTTTGAATAGTGTGTTTGGTATGGTTTCTAATCTACTACTTCTCCCATTCACAAATCCGAAATCAAATCAAAAAATCTAAAATTCTATTATATGTAACAAATATATTCCATTTCAGAGCAGAAGAAAAAGCCTTCAAGGGTCAAACTCTGCACATACATCATTCAGCAGTGCACAGTGAAGCTCCAACATTCAACTGTATGAACAAGCAATACTTTGAAATGCAAAAGTCTGTGTGTGTGTGTGTGTGTGTGTGTGTGTGTGTGTGTGTGTGCGTGCGTGCGTGTACGAGAGTCTCTTTAATAAATGTTTCAACTCGAGTGTCAAATTCGCGTGACGCGTTCTCGTGGTAGCCAATCAGCAGTGAGGATCTCAGCCACTGACGTTGAATCAGAAAACCAAAACATCAGCCGTTAGCTGTTAGCACACAGAGCTCACAGCTCCTCATATCTGTTCAGAAACTGGACAAAAGTTAAACAAGAACAAAACACAGGCTGTCTATGTCCTGGCGAATACAGTCGCTGCTTTATTTCTGTCTTTAGGACGTTGTTGTGAGTGTGGACGGAGCAGCTACAGGTTAGTTTTGCCTGATCGATCCAATCTCCATTCAGAAAACACGCATTTTAAAAGGTTTTTCGCCTGCCGTCTTGTCTGCAAACTTGTCAAAGCATTAATTCATGGTTTTTACTAACCGGTATCAGTATTTTGTTACTTCGGCATCATTTTGAAACGTGTATTACAATTAAATCACGGTAAAATATGTTAATGTTGTTGTAGTTGATTTCTACCACAGTATTTACATGGATATAAGCCCCGCCCCCTCTCCAGCGCGTCCTGTTTGAATGACAGGAGTAAACACAGCTGACAGCTGCGGTGAAACTCCAGTGATTAGAGCAATGCGAATATTCACCGGTGTGAACGCAGCATAATGCAGTTCAGAGACCAGACCACTGCTCTGACGCTTTTAAAGCAACTTCGAGATTTTAACAGTGTGAGGGGCACAAAGGCCATGGTGGCCGTAGGACGTACAATTATTTGTGGGGCATCACGGCCAGACCGAGGGGCAACGACGGCCATGGCCGTCATGGCCACAGTGAAATTCCTACCCTGCTTACTACCCTACCCTTGACAAGTGCAATCACAATCTATTCATACACACTCTTGTGAAACTTACCGGAAGCCAGTTTGGAGTACTGGCGTGAACGTAGGGAACTATTTTCTCTGGAAATTGCTGTTGGTATGTCGGGCTGTGATACCGTCTTGTCACGCCTTCCTCTGGTCAGGCCCCAACGATCCCATCGTGATCTGCGCTCACCCTCTGCAGCTGAACGAAAAGAACACAACATATAGAAATCGTCATGTATTTAAGAACGTGCAATTGATAATACTCTAGTTAAACGAATACATTTCCGAATAAAGATGTATAAGTTTGCTTCATACCCTTTGTTTCTGACTTCAGGCTGGCCATAGAGTCTAGAGACTCTGAAGATGCTCCATTACTGGCCTGAGCTGCCAGCTGGTTCTGAGGAACACTGGCAACTTTCGGAGCTCGGCTTTCTGATGTTGCACGACGAAGCATGGAAAAAATGGGCGTCCTCTTGGGGTCCTTGTCCTCTGATGCTCTCCTTTCCTCTGAGAAGCTTCGAATTCTTGTGGAGATCCCAGCCACCGTCGATTCAATCTTTCTGCGCATCGCCAGGACCGGTGATTCATTAGGTTTCTTGAGCTCCTTATCATCTTGTTCCGACAACACATTACCGTCACTATCTTTGTGCGCCATCTCCACTTCCTTCTTTTCCTGTGACCCCCTTCTGCCGATAGTCCAAGAAAGCCTACGTCTTGAAGAATCTTCTTCTTTGGTCGCTTCCTCCTTGCGTTCAGCTGACGGCGCTCTCTTCAGGCGCATAGAGAGCCTTTTCATAAAGCCTTGGTCCTTTTGAGCTTCACGAAGGTCCTGGACTGACTTACACTTCTCCTCAAGTCTCCTCGGTGCTAATTCCAAAGGTGCACCAATCGGCCCAGGTCTATATATCTCTTCGCCTGACTCTGCGGAGTCCGATGATATCGCTTGTGATTTGTCCTCATGCTTTGACCGTGACAGAAACTTTAGACTTCTTGACAGGGAAGACTCACGTTTTTTGAAGCGGGCCTCAAAGACCTCTTCAGAGGATATGTCCTTAAAGTCAACTCCTGCTGGGGTCTCTTGTTGGGATGAGGAATGTGTGGTAGTCCTTGGTGGAGTGGGTTCTTTTGTCATCATTTCTGGTGACGCTACCCTGGAGAATACAGCAGGGTGCTCAGTGGTTGATATGATGGTTAGCTTTGGTTGACCAGGTAAAGCAGAGGACATGCTGGCTGGTGAATATGTGGGTACACTTGATACTGAGGGTGACATAATGGCTGGAACCACAACAGGTGTAGAGGGGCTTAAAGGTTGGTCATTTAAAGGCTGAACTGCAGGGACCATGATGGTCTGCATAATGCTTGCATATGCTGAAGTCCTTCCATCTGGAAGAGTTACTACAGGAACAGAGGATGTAACATAAGTAGGCAGAACCATTGCTGATGGATGGGAATATTCCTGTGTTGGTCTCACCATAACTGAGCTTGTGATTATGATCATATCAGAAGATTGAGCAGGCATATTTTCTCCTTCAACATTTCCTTTGACAGTACTGACAATTATTTCTTCTTCTTTCATCATCTCTTCTTTTTCTTCTTGCACATCTTCTCTCACTACTTGTTCTTCCATTTTCTCTTCTAGTGTAGAGCTTTCAACCGCAACAGGTGGTGTAGCAATTATCTGGCCCGTGTACTCTGATTCAGTCATTGTTTCTTCTGATATGCTCATGTCCTTCTCTGAGAAACCACTAGTGCTCGATCTCTCATCAAAATTACTATCTGTGGTCATCCCTTCCATCTTTTCATTCATGTTGTCATCAGGCTTTATCTCCTTCTCCATGAAAGATTCTTCGCTTTCCGCTTTGATTGGACTTTCCTGCATAACAGACTCTGGTGTTGGCGGTTTTGGCGAAGGATCCCTGGGAGTCACTGGACGGGAGTCTAGCTTGATTTGCTCAGTGAGAGATGACATAGATATAGCCTCCTTAAGCCTTCTCTCTTCCACCTGTGCCAAGGGAATCTCCAAGGGAGCTCCCAACCGGCGGTGTAGAGCTATGGGTTCTGAATCACCCTGACTGAAAGAAGCAGTTTTGCGTAACATTTTTGGTTTTGGATCATCCTCCATTGCAGAATCGCTGGATGAAGCTCTAATTAGCGGGGGTGGGCCCAAACGTGCAGTACGAGAGTAGCGATCTGAAGATCCTAATGTTTCCAATAGAGGTCCTCTTAGTCCACTCATCTTTTTGTCTACAGAGCCTCCACGAAGCAGCCGCTGTCTCATCATCTCCAGTTTAAGAGCGTAGTCTTCTTGACTCATATTGGCAGTTCCTGGACTGGTGCTCCTCCTTGGTAGCTCCATAGAGACGGCTTTCTTGAGAACTCTCCTTCCATCCTCTTGGATTCCTTCTCCAGTTCCTTCCTCTGGTGTAATTTTTAGCAGCAATGCACTGTCGGCAGAGCCTCCACGTCTTAGCTCTCCTCTTCGTCGTCCACCTTCTGGTTTGTCTGGTTTGTCAGAGTCCATACTCGAACCCCTGCGTAGGGGTTTTCTAGTCACCTGTGACTTTTGTGGCAATTCAGCGGGTGATTCTTCATCTGAGGAACCTTTATCATTGTCTTTTGGCGACCTTTTACGCAGGCGACCTTTACCTGTTATTTCAACCCCTTCTTTATCCATTTCCTTAGTGTCACACTCCATTGCTTCCTGGCCTTGAACAGGAGACCCAGACAACTTACTCGTACCATCCTGCTTCCCTGTTTCTTGCTCATTGGTTTGGATGTCATTCAGCGACATCCTTGATCCAGAAAATTCCATGTTAAGAGGCATTGGAATAAATGGCAGTTCATCAATGTCTTCATTAGAATCTGAAGATGACGATGGCATAGGTGAACTTTCTTTGAGGTTCCTGGGGACTGCAATGGAGATATGGCTGGAGGAATCATTCAGCAGCTCAGGTATGGACCTCATGACCATTTTTGATTTATAGCTGATGAGTGAACGCTGTATGAGAGGAAGTAAGAAAACATTCAAAGATGTGACCATTGAATGATTACTAGGCATTCAAGGTATAATGCAGTATAGAAATATCCTATAAGCAATCAACATCTCTCACCTGCCATTTTCTCCGAGATACAAACTTCCTCAGGGCCTCTGTACTTATGGCCTTCCCCTTGCTAAGTATCTGTAAAAAAAGACAATTAATGTGATTTAAAAAAGTAGAAATGGGGCCTTTCAGTATCGTCAATAAGTATTTACTGGAGAAAGAGTTAAGTATGGTTAACACTGAAGAGTGAAGTACCACTGGTCTTGTCTTACCTTGAACCAGGGGTGTCTGAGACATCCTTGAGTATCAGGTCTCCTGAAAGAAAATGATGGCAGATTTTAGTCATCAACTTTATGCAAATTAGTTTTTTGCTATCTTGAATGAATATCACCAGTGGATTAATATATGAAAGTTGCAGATAATAATGGACTATATGAATGCTAAATGTTCTTAATAAGCATCTCATATAGAGATAAATCATTAATATTAGAAACCATTTATTAGGATTCAATCCATAAGAAACAAGATGTGGTGAAAGCTGTGACATCTTCCAGAGCTGGTAAAACAGATTTAAAAGAAAGTATTAATTATAACAAAACATATGTTTTTAAATTCAGAGTAAAATAAGTAAAATAAGTAAAACAAATTATTTAAAAAAACCTGTATTTAAATGGTTTTCTTTATAATGTCCCGAATGACACTTTTGAATGTATAGATATATTTTACACAATCATTTTACAAGAACAGATCTTGACATAGAGACCCAGTGATGTGACTCACAGCCTGTCTGCTACCAGCAGCTTTATGATGAAGCCTTTAGCCTCTCGGCAAAGGTCAGCAAACATGCTCTCCTCGAAAGCCACGTTATAGTTCCTGATGTTCAGCACGGAGCTGCGATCATTCTCTCCAGCAAATGGAGAAACTCCTGTCAGACTAAAAGCAGAAACAAATGCTTGCATTTAATAACAAGCCCACGGGTAGTCCTGAACAGGCCGAAAACTGACATTGATAATCATCATTCTGTAATACATTTCATAATGAATGCATAATAAGAACAATTTTACTCACAACAGGTATGCAATTACTCCAATTGACCTAGGAAAATAAAAATAAAATTAGAAAAAGGCAATGTGTTAAGACAAAACAAGCAAAATGTTGAAGTAAAGCTATCCTACCAGATGTCTGTTGCTTTTGACACAGGCGTCTGACTGACAATTTCTGGCGCAACAAATTCTGGTGTGCCATATTTGCAGTATTGAGCCTCGTCGGGTGTGACCTGCAGTGCGTTGCCAAAGTCACAAATTCGGATCTGATCGCTTTGGGAGTCTGCCATGAGGATGTTATCAGGCTGATGAAAGAATAAAACAAGGATTTCATAACATGTTCTCAAATATTAAGGGCTCCAGTGCACTTAACATATAAACTCAGACAGGACAACAAAGGACAGTGAGGATCCATATGTACCTTAATGTCCAGGTGTATAATGTTCTGATGATGAAGGTAATCCATGCCCTCGAGCATTTGTCTTATACATGAGCGTACCTGGTGGTCACAAAATGAAAACTTAGCCGTATAGCAGTATATTAGATCATTCAATGATGTACATTTGGTCATGACATTGATATTGAAATATTTAGTATAGGATTGCTATGCAGGACTTACATCAGACTCCATTACAATAGATTTCCTTGTGAATCTGTCAAGAATCTCCTCATGGCATCTTCATATATTTATTAAGGTATTTCTTACTGTGACTTTAGAAGAAGCGCTAATTGTTTGTAATACATTCATAGTATGTATTAAGCTTAAAACAAAAAATAAAAAGCTTTTCAGGAAAGCACAAAATGTATGGCTACAGCATATAAAGAAAAAAAGCATTTTATTTGTATATTTTTGTATTTACTCTCCAAGGCTAATCGTGCACAAAGCTTGAAATAAGGATACAGTTCAGTGATGATAATGACTGCATTCTTGTTCTCAAAGGCGTCCTGAAAGTAAAGGACTCTCTCGTGGTCCAGCTTGGAAAGCAGGTTCATCTCTCTCCGAGCAGACTCCTTCTTCTTGGCCCGTGTGGAGATAAACTTTGCAGCATACTCCATCTTGCCAACCTTCTGGGTCACGCGTTTCACGTAGGAAAAGGCACCTCTGGAGAAAAGAAAAAGAAAAAAATAAACTTAAATGTGTTCAAAATAGTTAGATGAAGGGATTGAAAGGGCCCTATCATGCTAATTTTCAGGTTCGTATTTGTAATTTGTGTCTCTGATCATGTGACGTGGTTCAATGCTTTTATGTGTGTGGGAGAGGGAACTTTGGGATTTTTCGCATTTGCAGACCATTTAAAAGGCACAGAAACGTATATAACACACTACAGGAAGGGAAAACCCTTTCCGGCATTCTATTAAGATGGTTCCAATACAGACAGTGGTTCTCTTGCATTATATTGAATCAAAAAGACGGGATTTAAAATGCCTTACCTTCCAATTTCCTTGTGAATGTCATAGTTATCTGTCAGTCTGCGCATTTTCCTTCGAATCGTCTCCTCGTCATCCTTTGGCTCCTGTTTATGTGTAGCTGCAATAATAAGCACGTTTTCATTAAACAAAGGGACTTCCAAAGAATCACAAGATAGAATGGTCATGTTTGTTCCATTTCTACGCTTGTTAGCCATGCAGTCAATATTGTTAGATTTTTGTATGGCTCCGATAGATTGACCTCTCACCTTCATGTATTGTGAGTTCGGCCTTACAGGACACAGATCCCGCCAAGTTCCTGGCGGTGCAGGTGTAAACCCCGGAGTCTTCAGGGCGAGCGTTCAGGACCACCAGGGAACACTCATTATCATCGTACACAAATGTGTAATGACAACTCTCCGACAGCAGGATATCATTCTGGAAGCAAAAACGGTACATATTGATTTGATCTTGAAAGATTTATACTCTGCTGTAAACACTATTAAACTTATTTGAATGCTAAAAAGGATGAAAACCTTGAGCCAGAGGATGTCAGGAACGGGTTTGCCCTCCACAACCACAGCAAAGCGCGGAGTCTCCCCGGCACAAACCTCCAAGTCCTCCATGATTGTTTCAAATGTTGGTGGAGCTGTGGATACATTGCAATACCAAGTTAGATTTAGCTCTATTTATGTATATAAATAGATAGATCTGTGCCCCTGTATTAAAATCAGTTGGATGTCGCATGGATTCATGTCAAAAACGTCTGTTTTTGTCATTTTGGGTTTTTGGTTGATTCTAAACAAACAAAGTCTTGGCTTTCAGAAGTTTTATTGCTTGTAGAGAAAGGGATGACATCTTCATCGGTCACCATTAGCTCCCACTCTGATCGAATTTGGATATTAAATATAGCGTAGAAGCATGTAAAGGGACTTCAAAAAGCAAACGGAGAAACTTAACAGCAGCGGCATTACAACAGGTGGTGTGTGCTGTGTTGAATTGAGTTAGCCTAATTGATATGTTAGGTCAATGGATGCTTACTGTTGAACATTATGAGAGGCACTGCCTGCTTACAAGCTTTGTTATAGACTCACAAAGATTTAAAAATCATAGCTAATCCGGTGGGCAAGGGGTAAAGTCCCCTCATGATATCAAGCCTGGAGCCCTCTTTTAAAATAAAGTTGGCCAAAGAACTGTCAGCAAACAGTCATCATGATACGTGCAATCTTTTTCTCACTATTTGGGAGTCAAAGATATAATTGGAAAGCTTTCAAATCTCATCTTTTCAACAGTGTATGCAACTCAAAATGCTTTTCAGGGTCAGTGTGAGTGATTGTGATTGAGCAGGTCATATATATGAATCAGTGTCCCACCCACCTGCCAGCTCCACGTTGAAGGTGCAGCTCTCACTGCCGAAGTCGTTGGAGGCCACGAACATCATCTCTCCGATGTCAGCACTCTTCACTTTAAGCAGCTTCAGCGTTTGCTGGTCATCATCTGGCATGGTCATCTCGTACAGGCCTGGCTTGCTGGAGAGGACCGCTCCCCTCCTGTGGAGAAGGGTTTATAAGTTATATTTAATCATGTCATAGTTAGGAGAGCAGTGAGTTAACAGTGGGCAGGTGAAAGGGGTCTTCTTTGAGTGCAAGTCAGGACACAATAATAGACTTCACTGCTCTGGAATCTTTGATATTTAGAATCAAACAGCTGCCTGTATGCACTGTCATACTGTATTCATATTGTCAGTCATACTCCCAGACTATCCTTTCATGCACTCAGCCCACAAGTTGGAAGCCTTTCTACCAGATACCACCTGACTTGGTTTAACAAACTCATCATGTGATAACTACATGGATGTAACTATGAATACTTCATTTAAAGTGGACCTATCATGCTATATTTAAAGGAAACCTATCATGCTATATTTAAATGATATATCGTAGGGCCATACCTATATAAGGTATATTTATACGTTTCTGTTTTCAAAATACCAAACAGATCATGCATTTTAGCCATGCCTCATTTCGCTCTATGTGCTGTTTGCTGTCTACGGGTCTGATTCTGCTGACCACGCCCCCCTGCAGGAGAGGGGAGCCATGCTCTGATCAGCTGCTGGGCTGTCAGAAGAGGGGGAGAAAAAGAGATCTCCGTCCTCCGTGTTATATTATATAGAGTCGTTATTCATTTGTTTTAAAGCTCAATAAATAACAAAGAAGACCTTTGACCGGCACTTTTCTAATTTTGTCCGGAAGATTTAAACTTTAACGGACATCTTGACCGGCGAAAGTAACTGAAACTGAAACTCTGCCGCACGGTCCCCTCGTTCCTTGGAAGAGGCGGAGAGGTGGGTGTTTGTCACCTGCTGGTGGACTAACCGGAGAGAATTACAGTGCTTGCCTCGACGGGGAGGGATTGCATTGCAGCGGGAGCAAACGCTTGCCTCGGGGAGGGAGAAAGAAAGCCACAGCGGAGAATAAACAGAAGGGTAACCATGGTAACTATGGGTGGGAAGTCTTCTTCGCTGCTTTTGTGGCAGACTACAGCACCACTTACAGGCCTGGCATATGTACTACAGCATCTCCAGCGCTTTCGAGCGGCAATGGCCGGCCGTGGCCCAACCCCACATTCCCCTGATAGGTGGAGAGTTGGCCCAATAGCCGTAGCGCCACTTCTGTGACGACATAGAAGTGTTCAAATCTGGATCAGTCTGTATCAGATCTGTTGCAGCCCCTTTTTTAGAGATTTGGGTATGGAGGAAAATAGAGAGGGTTGTGTTTTCTGACACTTGGTGAGTTCCCTGGAACACCGGGGACACATATTAATGTATAAAAGACGTACAAAAGTGCATTTTGCATGATAGGTCCCCTTTAACAAATGGTTTGAGATTATTACGTTCCCTATTTAATATGTAATAAAAAATACATTTCTTTACTAGTTCTTTAAAGTAATTTTTATTTTGATTGCTTTTTTAATAAATGTTTTCAATTGGTAAATAAATCAATAAAAAGTCCTGAACACAAAACTGAAATCAGTGCAACAGGCAGTACTGAACACTGACCTTTATTACAAGTTTAAAATATAACATAATGTTTTATTGTGTTATGTTCACATTTCGCACCCTTTGGTAATGTTCGGGTCAAATTGACCCGGGACATATTTCAGGGTTTAAAAAAAATACAGAACTAAATTCAACATGCACAATTCCTTATATATATTGTCTTTAACTCATTCCCCAACAATATAAATTAAATATATGATTAGTTTTTGAAAATACTCTTTGCTAGATCAAATTTAACAATGGAAGTGTCCATCGTGTTTTGTGTTAAAAATGTAATTTATGTTAAAAAAAAATACACTGTAATAAAAACTAAGTTTACATTTTGCTCATGCTTTTCTAGGACAAATGTAAATGAAACATTTTTTCATTAATGTTTATTATTTTTAATCTGTCATATACTAATCAAAGCCCTGAAGGAAATAAAGCAATTTAACAGCAATTGAAACACAAGAACCACACATCCAAAAGTATTTGGCTGTGAAATATATAGAGATGATGAAACATCCATATAAATGACATAGAACAGATATAAACACAAAGCAAATAAAAACAATTAACAGTCACTATTCATAAAATACAGTATATCCGAAAAATATATTGATGAAGTGACGCTGCAGAACATCATGTGAGTCAATGGGCAAGTCCGTTTAGGAAACACATGATGTACAGAACTTCTTCGTGTGTATAGCACAGATGTAATTGTTGCAGTTGCTGCATGTAGTCTGTGTCTTGGAGTCTTCCAGTAGCTGGCTGTGGGGGTCTTCTTGCGGCTGGCTGTGGGGGTCCTTCAGCGGCTGACTGTGGGGGTCTTCCAGCAGCTGGCTCTGAGTCAAGTTGATCTTCCAATTCGCTGTCAAATTCTGAGTTTACCTCCACATTATCCTTATCTTCAGAAATGTCTTCCTGTTCCACTTCACCGTGTTCTTCTAATGCATTCCACTAACTCTCATCCATTAGCTCCAAGGCTCTCTGAGCAGAATATCTTTTGGCCATTTTGCTGGTAGATAATTGTAGTTCTGCACTATACACTGTAATGTGAGGTTATGTCTCTGTTTAGTCCCTCCTCCGGCGTGCAGGTGCGAGGGGGACAGTGCGAGAAAATGTAAAATGTTTATACATTTCTGGAAGATCTAAAATGTTTATAATGTTCTAGGATAGTTTTGTGTACACACTACAAAGGGTATAGATCAAGGGAAAACAGGATCAAACAGCTTCTCTATGCATACCATTTTGTGTGTGTGTGTGTGTGTGTGTGTGTGTGTGTGTGTGTGTGTGTGTGTGTGTGTGTGTGTGTGTGTGTGTGTGTGTGTGTGTGTGTGTGTGTGTGTGTGTGTGTGTGTGTGTGTGTGTGTGTGTGTGTGTGTGTGTGTCTTTAGTTTCTGTGTTTCTGTGTGTTTTTCTCTGTCTGTCTGTCCTGGTATTGTATCCGACCCGAACCTCTTATGAAGGACATAAATGCGGTTGGGCATTTTTTCATAAGTGGAAAAAAATAAAAACAATTCCACATGTCCTTCACAATAAATAAGCCCCGGCCATTGAGTTTCAGGTTGAACGAAAATATCCTTATATTTTTTTTTATTCATTGAAAATGGAAATCGGGTCAATTTGACCCGAACACCACACAAGGGTTAATCTTTTGACTGAAAGGAAATTCAACTTTGTAATCAGTAACATTTTGTTTAATATTTCAATTACATATTTTTACTCAGTAATGACGATATATGTTATTTTATATGTGTCCACATTATCAATACTGTCACTTGGATTGTCTATGTTGTAGTTCTATATATTATACTGTCATTCATGTTTTGTTGATCTGTGAAAACTGTAAAGCTCCCTGAGACAAATGTATTCTTTGTTATATTGGGCTATATAAATAAAGCTTCATCATTTAATTTTGATAGATTGCAATAACATTTATTTCCTAATTGAATTACATAACGCCATAACATGTAACTATGTTAGCCCCAAACTCTGTGGAAAACGACAAATACAACAGCATTCCAGTGTTTGTATACACCTGTGGGTATACCAGTTGAAGCCTTTTACAATTTGTATTTGATTTGTAATGTTAAAATCACATTTTAAATAAAACAATGCATGCATATAAATATATAAATTATTTATGGTGGAAAGAAATATCACAGGAAAATTGCATGCATGTAAAATAAATGTAAAATAATATATAATAGTAGAAACTTGACAAAAGAGACACTGATACCTCTTCCAGAGGACGGCAGCGTTGACATGATTGAGGGTCACAGTGATGGCGACCGACTGATTTTCCATCACATACACAATGTCTGGCTTATCAATGATCACTGGAGCCTCCTGGAGATAGGGGCCTAGAAGAGAACCAAAGTGTACAAACATATATTTAAAAAACGGTTTGAGCGCACTGATGAATGGATGGGTTCTCATAAAGAAATGAATGAGTGTACCTCGGTCCAGGAGCTGCACTGAGTCGGTGCTGGGGGAGGGCTTGCTGAAGGCTTTGGAGGTGATGGTCAGGACCCTGAAGGCGTAGCGCACCCCTTTGGAGAGGGTGCTAAGGATGTAGGTGGTCTCCTTCAGGCCAGAAGCTATGATGGTCCACTGGATGGAGCCCAGGGCTTGCTGTTGGATGGCATACATCAGGGAGATGGGATCTGTACAGAAAAACAGTTAGTCTTCTGAACCTTACCGAATGTTACATCTTTCACAATGTCTATGTTGTATATGCTTAACAACAGACTCTGTGACCTTCCAGTGTACTTCCCTCACATATAGATGTATGCATGTATGAAGGCTAAGAAAAAGCATCTTATAAAATAACTACAAATGTACGGGCTCTAGTGTGGTTTGCAGAGGTCCAAAGTAAACAATGGGATCAATAACACATTAAAACATGTCTTACCTGTGTCTGTTTTTAAAAGAGATGAACTGACCGTCTTCCTAGTATCTGGGCCCCTATTATCAAGCTTCAAATAGAATTATCAAGATGTGCCATTTCTTTTAGTTTTGTGAATAAACTGAAACGGAAAACGAGTTTGCAAAATGCAACAACACAGTGTTCACAACTACTCTGGTTCAATCCAACAACAACAAAACAATTGCGTGACCTAAACTCCCAAGGAAGCTAAAAACAAAATCCTTTTTTTCTATATTTATCATTGAAAAGAAATTAGAATTGACACATTTGATCTGATAAACAAAGAAATATGATCATCTTTCTTGCGTACCGATGGAAGGGTCCAGCCTCCTTGGTTTCTTCCAGCTTAAGGTGATGGTTTTCCCGGTGATGGACTCGATCACTGGGGTGCCATCCGGAGGGTCAGGGAGTATATCTGGAGATGATGACAGTGGAATTAGAAATGTTTCTGATCCGCCTTTGTCCGAAACAAATGTGCTTGTTCAAGTTGTTGGTTTGCATGAGAATCACCTGTGACATAGAGATGAGCGTAGCAGGTGGCCTTGCCGACTTTGTTAGAGATGACACTCTTGTAGACTCCGCCGTGGGCGTGGCACACGGAGCGGATGACCAGGCTGTGGACGTCACGAACTACAGGAGGGAAAGGAATTTATACGAAGTTGGTTATACTGGCCAGTTAGCATCTTTATCATCGTTTTTATATACAGTATTCAAATATATGTAATTCATTATAAATTCAATACAGTACATTTTCTATTTATTCTTATTGATCCCAAGATTATTTGTCTAAATTATGGTTAGTATAAGTCTGAATATTATACAGTTCATACTGACATAAACCTTTATTTTTATTTAATTACATTTATTTGAGAATGAAATGTAATATAATGTTATCAATATGTTAGCTAAAATTGTTACAGTTATAGTTTATTTTCATTCTTGCCGAAAACATTCTTGTAATAATAAGAAAGCTAAATATGAGGCATCTGAAATAGATTACCCAGAGTGCATTTGCTTTGTGAAGGCTTATGTACCCATTACAGGCCTGAGCATTGGCTGAATGTTAACCATTTTTTCAAATCACTTACACTGTGTCATCTTTCTGTCCTCGGTGCTCTCAATCCGTTTGCCGTTGTGAAACCAGACGATGGTGGGGTACGGCAAACCAGCCACTTTACATTTCAGCACCGCCTCCTTCCCCTCGATCACATCCAGGTCGTAAAGCGGTTTGATGAAGTCTGGCATCGTGAAACGCTCCACCTCATTCTCTGGGACCTCGGGCTCCTCCGGGATCGATGGCATCTTCTCCAGTTTAGCCCTAAAGGGAAGAGAGGATGAAATATCCCTCTTGTATACCTCAGTAATGTCTCTTACTGCATACAATAACATTTATAGACAAGTCAATGGAATACACAAGAGCTATGGCTCAGTATCCAAAGAATAACTCTTACATCTGTGAGGAGATAGCGGGCCGCGGTTCTTGTATGTAAAGTTCGGCTGAGCTCTCTGCCTCTCCGAGGTTGTTACGGGCTATGACGGTGTAAAAACCCTCATCCTCATTGGTCACATGAGAAATGAACAGAGAGTGGCGACCGCCTTCCTGAAGAATTCTAACGTCTTCACTCTCTGTCAGCGGATGGTCTGAAAAGAAGATAAGAGTCTGTATTAATACATCCCTTTAGATAGAAAGTGTGTTACAAATCACAAAATCAACAGAGGCAGAGATAATAAAGAAAAGGGTTGGAACAGATCATTTCATAAAGGCTGGGTTAAGATGATATGTGATACAGCTAGGTGCATAACTTATGAAGTGCATCGTACCAAAGTGGCTCCAGATGACCTTAGGAGGCGGCGTCCCGCTGACTTTGCAGTCAAATCGAGCGTTACGCCCCTCAATCACTTCCAGAACGTCCAGCTTACGGGTGAAGAGAGGCTCAATCGAAGGGATGACTTTGAGTTTGCCACATGAAGTCACTTCCTCTGGAGAGTAGTAATGTCAATTCAGAAGAAGCAAAAGAGACAAACTAAAGTTAGTTAATGCAGGTGGTAAGAAAGCAAGGCAATTACATAATTTTTGTTCAAAAAACTTCAATATAATGGAGAAATATCTACACACTTTATAAGTATCATGTATACCTATAACCCTATTTAATCCTTTTGAACAATTAACCAAAACCATTAAAGTCAGTTTCTATTCTAGAGATACATATAATTGGTTAAATGAGATAATGAAAGTCAAAATAGGTTGGTGCAGGAATGAGTCCTAAAACCTGTAAATCAGTTGACAATTTACACCATTCGTTTCCCTTAAAGTCAATGGTTTCTTTAACGCATTTGAGGTTTAATGCGTAAATAAGATCTGTGGTTAACACAAGCTTGAGAGATTTTCACGTTTTGTGCTACAACATAAAATATGTCAATAAACACAAAAGTAAACGTCATCATGCAGAACATTAGCTTCCTTTAGCTAAGCGGTAGTGATGTAAAGTCAGGCAACCATGATGTGGTTAGTAAATAGCCTAACGTTAGCTTTTTAATGCTGACAATTGCATTAATTCATTCTCAAATCCAATGGAAAAAACCCATTGGCTTTTGCAGAGGGACTCCTTGCGATGCAAAAATCCGGGCCTGCATACAAAAATGCGTCATTACTGCACTAATTAATTATGGATTTAGTTTGAGTAATCGGTTAGTAAAATCTTACTAAACTTTGATTTGAATTGTTGATGAGAAATCGTCTTTTTTTCTTTTTCTCATTAGAGATATTGTGAAATGTATTCCTGACACCTACCTTTAGCGGTGCTGAGTTTGCACATGTATGTGCCGCTGTCGTCCTCGTGTACGGAGTTGAGCAGCAGCCGGCACTTTCTTCCATCAAAGTGCATCTTACAGTTGAGCAATGCGGGCTGGATCAGTTTCCCGTCGGAGAGCCAGTCCACGTCAGTGTCCTTGGGTCCGATGACATGACACTCGAACAGAACCGTCTCCCCGGCCTTGGCAGTGATGTCTCTGACCGGGCGGATGACAGCCAAGCCTGGCTCAACTGGTGGAGCTGGGAGCAAATACAGGACATTTTCTAAAGAGTGCTGTTTGGTGATACCTGAATTGTGTCACTGGTTATGATTGTTTTGTACGTTCTGAATAATTCCTGGACTTTTGAAAAGAAGCGTACCTTTTACCTCGAGCCTTCCTTCACACTGCTTCGTCCCATACTCATTAATGATCTTACAGGTGTAAATCCCAGAGTCCGATTTCACAGCCGACTTGATGGTCATCTCGAAATTGCCGTCTTCTGTCTCTCGTACAATGTGGCGTGGGCCTGTTTTTACTGTGACTCTGTCCCTCAGCCTACAAAAGAGTTGAAATAGGGGAACAATGGCTGCTTTGTTTTAAAACAAGAGATGAATCACGCATAAACCACTCAGAGCTTTTTTTAAACTTAATTTATATAATGAAAGATGACCAAGCACATGCTTATTTAACAACATGCTCTCTTCTGGCTGGTATGAAGGGGGTGGGGTTGGGGGTGGGATACATTATCCTGCCAACAATATGCTTAGCAGGTTCTTTTTTTGCTATTGTCTCGAGAGAGTCATGACTAACTCCAATGACAGAACCTGCCTGTGTGGTCCAGCCTATTCTTGTCTGCTATATTAAAGCTACAATTGAAAAGATCTCTGCTTCTTCTCTAGTGATAGAGCAGTGTACTTTTTGGGATCTCACTTCCCAGAAATTGGCGATGGTAATTTTACCTGGGACTGTCGCCACACACAAACCTGCTTAGTAATACTGCTAATGCTTTCTTCCTTTGGCCGTAGGCTCTATCAACATTGGGCTTCCTAATCCAGCAATAGATGGTGATTTAACAGACATTTATTCAAATTAACATTGTGTAAGCATCTCCTCATATCACTTGTATGATGTCTGCGAATGACCTCAAATGTGTGAGCCCAGTTTGTCAGCTTGTCTCTCCTATGAATGCTGCTACTTTTCATATTTAATTCATTCCATTAGTGAGAACAATTCAATATTAAATACTTATATCATAGGCATTATAAATACCTTTTTTTCCCCCCGAATTCAATTCTCAGTGTGGGAAGCACTGTTTGTCAGACCCAGTGTAAGCCCTGTTAATGATAAGGCAACAGGGGACAACTTCTCAGCAAAATGGAGAAAAGTAGCAAGCTGTGCCCAATAGATAATCAAGACTGATCATGATCATTTTCATTCCACACTAAAGACTGTCCACTAGTGAATATTTACAGCAGCAGAATGGTGTATGTGGGATTACCTTAAAATCAACACCTATACGAATGAGAGAGCACCTGTTTAACAGAGTGGCTTATTGATGTGTTTTGAATTGTTTCTTAACAACTACAAAGCTTTATGGCACAGAGGAATAAGATATATGAGGCTTGGGTCTCTTCATGGGATTTGTTGACAATAATACAAATATAGAAGTAATGCCGGATGCTGCCCTATAGCGGCTAGGGCTGCTCGATTATGGCAAAAATCATAATCTCGATTATTTGGGTCAATAATTGATATCACAATTATTAAAAACGATTATCCATTTACTTTGAAAACATCCATTTATTGAAAAAAAAAATGTGAACAGTATGTTTTTAACAGTTGATTACCCTGAACTTTAAGTATAATTCAACTGAAAAACCAAAAAATAAATTAAAATAAAATAAATAATCGTTTTATTTCGATTATGTTGTTTTCGTTGCAAGCCAAACTCGTAATTGCAATTAAAATACGATTAATTGAGCAGCCCTAATAGCGGCAGCAATAAAGTACCACTGGCTGAATGAACACATAAGGAAGCATCCTACAAACACTAAAGGACAGCCATTGTAAGGAAGTGCAATCCCCCTTGTTTCTTTTTTGGATGCCCTAAGCATTGCATGTGCAGTCTAGATAGTTGTCTAGGAGCTTATTAGTTTAACAAGACATTTGTGTTTCTGTGCACTGTGCAGCTCCACTGACTGCAAATGGAGAAAGTGTGTTGTTATTCTTCCCTTTTTCCTATTAGGACTCTCTCTGTCAGCCTTGAGAGTGTGAGGCAATAAACATGAATCTTCCACTTCCTTTATAACTGATGCAATAAAGCAGCATGCCCGAGAACAAACTATGCACTCCAGCAGGCTTGCTCGGGGGTTTATGATACAGACGAAGTCTTTTCTGTTTCCCATGCAAGCAATGTGATGAAGTAGTTGGATGAAGGAGGGGCACCTACCAATAGAGCATGGGTTTGGGTTGTCCACTCATTCGGACAGACATGGTGACTTCCTGTCCTTCAATGACAGCTTGATCACTCATCGTTACCTGTTGGACATGTAATGCAAGTTAGAAGGTGAAAGATGCTTTCTACCTGAACATTTTATGAAATTTGAGTGTCAAATTTCATCCCTTGATATGTTGCACCATACCATCAAAATGCAGTTGAGTACATATAAATGCAAAAAATATAAAAGTAATAAGCTAAAAGGTAAGGTCAATTTTAATATTGAATCAGACTGAGCTCTGTGCAGTCTCACCAGGAATGCAGGGGGTTTCCTGAATCGTGTGTCAATAGTTTTCCTGAGCTCTGGCCCTCCAAAATCCATGCCTTCCTCCAGGGGACTGAGATACTCCTCATCAGATGTGATAGGGCTGCTGATATCCCGAGGCAAGCCCAGGTTGCCCCTTGGCTCCTGTGCAGACTCTGTAAAAGCAACAACATTATTTATCATGTTGTTGTGTTTTTCTTATCTATCGGCTTTTTTCAGTTAAACTTTATTTTTGGTGACTGAGCACGGCGTAATGGAAAAACAGTTCAATGACTTTATCCATTAAAGAAAACAAAGCGGTCTTTAAAAAGTAACTAAAGTCTGAGCTGTCAAATGTGATCTTCAAACAATAGTGGATTCACAGTGGGTGGAGCCAGCAAGCTTCAGTGGGCAATTTATAGGTTCAGTTTTGCCTCTGAGTTGCTATGGTAACTATAAGTGAGGTTGTTCAGCTGGAATATATGGCACAGGCATTTTGCTCAGTGAGATAATGACGAGGGAGCAGGAGAGAAATCATCTGAAACACAATGCATTGTCAGGAAGATACCACCAACATGTTTTGTTAAGATCAAGAATTCAAAATTATTATAAGGTTAAGTACACTTTTTTTTTATGTAGGGTATTTTAAAATGTCCTTATGGGGGGGGAAAGTGTTTGATTCCATTTTGGCTGTAATACAAATGATCAGTTTATGATAACAACTGATTTCATCCAAGTGGCGTGGGCAGACATCAGTGTTGATAATAAAACAATAAAAAACATGTCATTATTTTAGTTACATGAAAATGATAATTTTGACAAACCAAGCAAAATAAAAATAAACCACCTTATAACAGTACTGTGTATAGGGACCTACGTTTCCTCTGATATCCCAGTCGTAACGTACCTGCTTTGATTAGAAGGACGGCGCTGCTGGTCGCTCTGCCCGTCTGATTAACAGCAGTCACACAGTACTTCCCACCATCACTCATTTGAGCTGATTTGATGAGCAGAGTATGTCTTTCCCCCTCCACTTTTACCATGTAATTTGCAATGCCGGTGATTTCCGTATTCTCTTTCGTCCAGGTAACTTCAGAGAGAACAGAGAACAGAAATAAAGCTATTTGTGTGCTGATTGCCTAAATGAATAAAAAAAAAATCTATGAGGTTATTTTTAATTGTTTAAACACGAACGCAACAGTACCTTCAGGAATTGGGGTGCCAGCAATGATGCATCTTAATAGCACATCTGCACCAGCAGATGCTACAGTGTCCTGCAGGGGAAACTCAAATACGGGGGCCTCCATTGGGTCTTCTTCAGCAGACACGTAAGAATCATCTGAAGAGTCTGTTAAATAAAGACAATCCAGGAGTCATTTCATTCCCTGTGATCAAATCAGAGGAAATTCCCCTCTGGTAAGGAATGAGTTATTGGTTGATTAAACATGAAAAGCAAGCACACTGGATCTTCACACTACAACAGACAGCCAAATGAAAGAAGCTCAACAAATCTGACCTAACTCTGGAGACAAGGGTCGAGTGCGACGGTTCTTCCCTTTGGTCTTCTTCTGTCGTCCCTCTTTGCCACTAGCAGTGATCTGCTGAGGCTCACTTGTCTTCACAGGAACATCCACCTCCATCTTTTCATCTTCAACAATAATGGCGGGGATTCGCATCTTTATGGCAGTTTTAGCTGGATCCACTTCCATTCTGTTCTCCGTTGGAGTAACTGGGGACATCCTCGGGGGTTTCAAAGGAGGTTGAGGAGAGAGCTCTTCCACAATGTCGACTATTTTTTGCACCAGTGGGCTTTCAGGTCTGTTGTCAATTCTTCTCAATGCGACCTCAATTGGCGTCTTTCTCCCTGAAGTCTCATCTTTTTGAGACCCGAGAGATTCTTGGAAGAGCGGGGATTCTTGCAATCGAGATACTCTTTGTACGAGTGGACTAGGTGGCCTTCGTTCAACCTTGCGAAACGGCGACTCTGCCCTTTGTTGATGATATAATGATGGTGACGATGATCTCTGAACTATTTCCGTTACTGGACTGACTCTACTTAATTCTCTGACTGATCGTTGTCCTGGTAAGTCAGATAACTGCATGGACTCTGGGGTGCCTGCAACTTCTCCAAATCTACTGATGGTTACAGAAGTTGAACCTGTTCTTGCTATCTTTTGTTGTTGCTGAATTGGTTGAGAACTGTGTTCCTTCTCTTTCTGTTCCTTTGCCCACTGGGCACGCTCCCTTTCTTGGAGCTTCTGAAGGACTTGTGGTGGAATAGGTTCGATTTTCCTGAACGGCTGGCGCTGTTTGCTCTTTAGGGTGAGCTGTTCAGTTGAAAACGACTTCTTCATATGAGGTCTACCTACTAGTTTCTTAATGCGCTGGAGCTCCTCAGTGAACTTGTTCTCAATGTCTTGAACTTTTTGGGTGATGCGAGGTTTGTCCTCGAGGGAAGCAGCTCTCTGTCTAAACATAGATCTCCGCTCAGCGGCATCCTCTTTCAAAGCCTCCCTCAGATCTTCCCTTGAACTTTCTCTAGAGATACCCAATCGACTTCCCCCATCATCTGAATCTACAGATCCCGCGCGATTGAAGCCTGCCCAGGATCCTGCAGAGATCGAACCCTCTGGAATATCAAGGCTTCTTCTCCGCTCTTCTAAACCACGGACCTTCTCAAAAACCTTTGAGCTCGCCCTCGTAAGCTTTGGGGACGGTCTGAGATTAAACTCTTTCCTGGAGTACTCGCTCAGTGGAGTCTGAGATCGTGACTCATGGGGGTTACTCTGAGACAGAGATCTTGGTTGCTTGACTTTTTCTTCAAACTCCCCGGGAACTGTGTCTTGGTAATCAGTTGGCAAAGTAGCTTTCTTCCGCAAGTTGACAGGTGTAGTTGAACCAGAGCGACTTGGCATTGGAGAGGTGGAGGGACGTTTGATGAGTCTTGGCGATGGGGGTGGGAGGGCTTGTGGGGGAGATTCTCTTGAAAAATGCTCTGATTGGCTCCTGAAATAGAGGATTTGAAGCAAAATCTGTTGGAATCGGTAGTTTGTTACTTGTTCACTATCTGCTGATTATTGTATTTTAGTATGGAATTTTTGTCCAATTATACAATCAGCACATTGACGTCGTTGAAAATGACTATTTTATTTGCATGTCTTTCTTGCCTGGTTGTGTTAGAGTGATCCTCATGTCCATGTGTTCTACTGTCATCTTCTGCACATGTGTCCATCACTGCATTTCATGTAAAGAGGAAACATTAAAGCAATCAGGTTCTTGCATTAAGTACGAAACAAGGCACATCTTTTTTCAGCCAAAGCACAATTTAACTGACTGTACATTACTAACCCAGCACCAAATGCAGACAGACAAACCTAGTATGGTAAACACATTGGAGTAATTAGCAGCCAAAGAGCCAGTATTTCCATAATAAGGCAAAAAAGGAGAGTGAATTAATTAAATGAATGAAATACATACAAATACCATTACAGGTAAATGTGAATAATATAACATCTTTATCATAAACACTTAATAGAGTGATAGTCACTGTTTGCAGCCCACACGTGGCCAGGTAACCCTAACCCTAATCCCTAACCCCCTTACATCTCAGGATTCTCATTAATGTCTATAAATGTTGAACTATTGTAGCATTAATGGTCATTAGTAAAACAGAAAGTAAATCCATAAATCTAAAGTATTAATTGCATCTTAAAACATGGTGGATACCTTTATGCACAGCCTGGTCCTCAACATCCCAACTATCTTCTTTGGTCTCGTATTGGTCACCTTCATCCTCTGTTGTTTCAGAATCTGAAAAATATAGAAGAAAATCATAAGAAATCTATTCTCCCAAGATTATATTTTGACTGGAGAAAGGTTTGAAGATGACTATTTGTTTCCCCGTCACTAGTAGAAACCCAGGAGTCCATATCTGCAGAAAGGGAGCAAGCATGCTGTTACCATGGGAACCAATACACTACATTATCCTTCTCACTTTACTCTTTATTAGTGTTTGGTGAAAGGAAATTGAAAAATCCCACAGCATATTCATGTTGAAGGTGATGTTTCAATACAGCAATATCTTTATAACACAATCAGCTATGAAAAAAAACCACTTAAGTTTTCTGTTGCATTGGACCTCATCTATATTTGAATATGTCATTGGACTTAAAACGCTGTTTCCCGCAGGGTCTCATTATCACAGCTAAGCTAAATGTACTCAGTTTGTTGCAGCTGAATAGTTGCTGAGTCTTTATTATTCATAATTTTCTCATCAGCATCTGCAAGTTAAATTGAAGGAAGGGAATATAACACTGCACATAGAAGCAACACCATTAAAGAGACAATCCTTATTTACATTTCATCCCCTAAACATTGATACAAATTGAGTGAAAATGCAGTCATTGGTAGAACTTAAATAGAAAAGCCTTATTGAGTCATTGGCATCCCAGCAGCTCTCATGAGGTATTTGCTCAGTAGGTGGACTTATTTATAAAAACAGCAGCTATGTGTTGTTCCCTTGCAGTAAGAGAACACATACTGTTGGCCATATAAACACGGTATTGTATAACCAAAAACGATAAATTCACAAATAAGTGTTTTCAACACAATTGTTTTCCCAGAATTACCCAAAATATCAACAAAGCTTTATTCATGGGCATCAGCAGATTTTATCCAAGTCTCACATTCGTTTCCAATATCCATTACAGTAACCAGTTCTATATCAGAAACGTCATAAAATGTCTAATGATGAAACAGCGATTCTAATAGCAAGCCATTTGTTAGTTTGATTATAAAAATAGGATGTGAAAACCAAAAATGGTCCTGTCAGTTAGCAAGGAAAAGTGTCTGTCTTCACTCTGCCTTGATTAAGTACACAAATTGTAGCCATGCTGGTGTTGCTTGAGGGATGTCCCACCAATTCAGTCCAAACTGAAAGAAAAAAAAGAATACATGGAATCATTCAGGATGTGTCTTACTTTGGGGTTCCATGAGGTTTCATTAAAGAGCCAGGTCAAGTCTCCACACATCAAATGAAATATCTAAACAACAACAAGGTGGATGGCATTATATTTGATACAGACATTAATTGTTCCCAGACCATGTATTCTAATGACTTAAGTGTAGCAATAAAAGAAACAAAAACATCAATGGACCCGAAACGGCAAAGAAGGTAGCACAAACTGATGTAAACAAATGAGGTTAAAATGTTAACATAGGTTCAGGAGCATGGCCACGCCTAAAACTCCGCCTCAAACCACGGCCACCCCTATTTATATCCGGCAAAACTTCCGGCCACTGCTTGTCTCCATCCTTTCAACCCACCCTTCCTCTCCCTTTCTACCTATACAGTTCCCCTTCCGTCTCATACCGAGCAATACATCCATCCATCCCTTCTTCCCTCCCTCCCCTCAACATCCCTACATCCCTCATCCCTACATCCCTTCATCCCTACATCCCTCATCCCTACATCCCTTCATCCCTACATCCCTCATCCCTACATCCCTCATCCCTACATCCCTTCATCCCTACATCCCTCATCCCTTCATCCCTCCATCCCTCCATCCCTCATCCTTCATCCCTACATCCCTTCATCCCTACATCCCTCATCCCTACATCCCTCATCCCTACATCCCTCATCCCTCATCCCTTCATCCCTCATCCCTACATCCCTTCATCCCTAAATCCCTTCATCCCTCATCCCTACATCCCTCATCCCTACATCCCTCATCCCTCCATCCCTACATCCCTCATCCCTTCATCCCTCATCCCTACATCCCTCCATCCCTCATCCCTTCATCCCTTCATCCCAACATCCTCTGCCCATCACCATTTATATTTAAACGGTGCATATTTTTATACTGTGTATACTAACATTCAATTCCAGGTATAGTCTGGGGGCCCGTAATCAGCCCACGCAGATCATGCCGGAGACGGAACCCCCACTCTGAGTCTCCCACTGCACGGACCATAGCTCGTCCTCCCAGATCATCCCTTCACCCCCCTCATATCATTCACATGTTACTTCAATAAACTTACAAACATCACACTGTTTTGGCGTGGTTCCTGCTAATGAAAGAGGTTTCAAAATAATGAACATTTGTCATCGCAAAAGATTATGAAAGAAAATGCATTTAACACACACATAAGGTTTTTGTGAGACACTGAATACAATGCAAAACCTTTAGCAGCGGCAGAAATTCGATTGACTAATAACATTTTTCCTTACACAAACCCTAGTATCTTCCTTTGGGATTCTGGTTTTCACATTGTCTGAGAAGCAGTGCACAATTAACTTCGTTAACATATTAGAGAGACTCTTTTCAATAATAGTGAAATGTGTTTATTAGTTTTTAATTACTGAACAGAAAATGTTTTTGAGTAGTAAGCAAGTTCCAGAAGAAGAGACATCATCACACAGCTCAATTAGTTATTGGCTTGACAGGTGTATGACGGCAGCACATGGGGTATTAGTGTATACATCCCACAATAATCCCAGGGAAGTATGGTTCATAAAACGTTCATTGGAATCCCTGCAGAAAGCCACATAGCTCAAGTGAAATCCCCCAAAAGGAGCTTTATACTTTGTTGAGTACCACTTCAATGTCTTAATAATGGTAATAGTTGTATAACTTGCATTTGTTTGAAGTAAGTTCAAGGCTGGAGCATTGTGCTGAGCTTGGTGATTTCTAATTATATTTTCTTCTGGCCAAGGTGATTATATTCCACTGTAACATTGGTATATTTGTTGTCTTTTGATTAAAGCTGTACAGAGAAGCTTCATCTCCTATTAACATTGTCATTGTATCTGATATTGTCAGTTGAGAAAACATTGAGCGGTCAGTTCAGCAGTAATGCTAATAAAATGGTCCACATTCCACAAAATATTTGACTGTATTGTTGTTCTACATATAGTAAATGGTTGAATCAGTTGATAATAAACAGTAAGATGATCGACAAAGACAACATTAAATAGCACTTGCCTGATCTTTTCTTTGGTCTGGATTTTTTTTCATGGTCACTGTTGGTATGTCCTCAAAAGGTATTTTTTGTCTCGGCTTACATTCGGCAGCAGGGTATTCCCCGAGATACGCTGGGGGTTCCGAGCCATTACTACACGCCTAAATCAGGACGTTTTCTATCAAAACGCCAGCTACTAATATCTGACTCGTAGGAAACAGCTCCAACTTGTTATATACTGTAACGTGCAAGTAAAAGCTTCTCAATCAAATGCAAAGGGAAATGGAAAAAGGCACTTTGGTCCATTATATAACAAGTTGCACCTCAGAGTGGCAGCACTTCTTCAAAAAGAATCCGTTTCTGAAAAGCACGGAGCATAGATCTCCATCCGCAGGTAGAAATGTCTGTTGAATGCATATCATCCACTCTGAGGGAGCCCCCCCCTGTCCACACAATAGCCAGCGACAGTGTAAGCATCTTCCCCCGCTGTGTTCCACCCCACAGGCAGTGCACACCGATAGGCAGAAAAACCAGTGGGAGTGATCCAGCCCTCTAGAGATCACTGCTCTACAGCATTGGTTGACATTTTTCATTTTTCCCTTCCTCCCCATGTGTCTGTGTCTTATTCTTCAACTGGTCTAACGAGCCGATGTTGTGTTGTCGGCAAGAGAAAGGGGGGGAAATCGCTGCAACAGCTAAAGGGACCTCCTCGCTGCTCTCTGCATCACTCAAACACTGTTAGCTCTCACAGCAAATGTGTGAGCTGGCTGCTTAGACACAAAGCAATCATATGTCCAAAGGACGTGATGGATTTAATTGCTCTACTCACTGCGCTACACAAAAAGATAATAGATACATGACAATATCAACTGCTGCTTCTGTTTGATACATTTGGTGTAATACATTTTCAATTTTCTAACATGCTACAGTTTGAATGACTCAATATCTAAGGATTCTTTCTCCTGAGAAAAGGAAAAGGCTTACACATATTATCACCGCACCGAATATAAGCCAGTACACTATATACATACGCTTGGAAATGGCCTTTCAATTCACTTAGCAGCACACTGTGCTCATGACAAAATGTCAAAGCTAGCATGCTGACTGTTTTATCAAACACTGTACCTAGGTACATTCACATTTTTTTAATAAACCTAAAGATCTTTGTAAAACATAATGGTACATTCATAATAACTCACAGTTAAAAAGTGAGGGTTACAGCCGCAAAATGTTGTGTTATCACTTTTATAATTCCAAATACAGGCTTAATTCTATAAAAGTTATCTTATCTTAATTACATGATTTGTGATTATGTTATAAAGGACTATGGAGAGGGCTGTTTCTTTCCTTGGTAGCTGTACTTAACTTATATGTGAATTGACATTATTTTACCCAACTGGAGATGTCATGATTCTCTAAATTTAGTATGCATTTAAATTGATATTGGTTTTTAACGGTGGCAAAATAAGTTACGTTTCCCCTCTAAACTGGGAGCATGCCGACCGCCATCTACAGTAGGTAATACATTAACTATGGATAAGTACTCCAATAAAGTTAAACTAATTACAGTTGGTTATATTGGTTATTTCATTTTGATAAATGGGCAGTGAATTTATACTACATACAGAAACTGATTATAGGTTCTCAACAAAAAATGATTAGCATTCAAAAAAGGTAAAAAATATTCCTTAAAGGAAACCTATCATGCTATATTTAAATGATATATTGTAGGGCCATACCTATATAAGGTATATTTATACGTTTCTGTTTTCAAAATACCAAACAGATCATGCATTTTAGCCATGCATTTCGCTCTATGTGTTGTTTGCTGTCTACGGGTCTGATTTTGT